AAATAATGGCCATGATTTAATTAAATTTTTGTTATATGAAAGACATTGAGTTAGCAACCCTAGCAAGGTTAATAAATTAGGCAGAAGTGTATTTTCTTCTCTTCTCCCAAAGCATTTGGGAGGATTTAAATCACGGTGACGCAATGACTCAGCAGATAGAGCCAAAGCTAAATGTCGGTGTGTACAAGGGATCTGTCCACTTTGGATATAATCTCCACACGTAATGTCGTTGTTGAAGTTTGAACCTTAATCTCCTCTTAAATATTGTATACTGAACCAGTGACCTAAGTCCGTGCGTGTAGAATTGTACTTTCATATCATTGTTTAGTCTGTTGGTCCTGTAAACTAAAGGTGGTTCAATGGATTTTGACGCAATTTTTTCTAGATACGTTTAATCACAATAATGAAGATAATTACAATAATATATATATTTTTAAAAAGGTATCAGATCATTGAACGTGACATAATTTTACAACAATAATTATGAATTCTCTTAGATCTTGAGTAAAGATAAAGATAATTTCTCTTTAAAGTTTAAAAAAATTGTAATTGAACCATACCTCCATTGTCGACCCAGTATTAAATTTCATTTAATTTAGAGCTGATATGTATTAGTGCTTAGCCTAAGCTGCCACGTTTATTTTAATCATTTAATCATGAGACAAAAACAAGTTTTTATTTTTAATTTGCTATATAAACCACATGTACTTTTAGTTAGATATTGCGTGCAAAATCAAATAAATAATTTAAAAGTATATACATATCCCATGTTTATAACGATGTTCAATTGTAATTTCTTTTTTTTTTTTTTTTTTTTAAGAAAACCACAAGAACCACCAAATTAAACAAACAAACAATGGTTTCTGTTGTTGTAATTTTAGAGCCGAATGATTTACCAACCAATCTTAGGGGTTAAGTCCACCAATTCGCAAAAGTTAAGAACTAATTTGGGCATGCCTCATTGAATAATTGATAAAAACTCTAACTAAATCTACACCTTAGACTATTTGCATCTCCCAAATACCTTATTTCCCTATCATCATATTTGCAACTCTGTATTATTTTATCTACATCCCTACAATTATGACTCACCATCAAAATATAATATAAATATAAAAAAAAATTATAAATTTGTCGACCTTGCTATAGGCACTAGTGTGCAAACATTTTCGGACCCGTAGGCCAGAAGAGGCATATCATCACATCATGCGATTTACTATTTGTCACCCGCCAGTCTCTATGACATACATTATATTAACGGTAATAGCCTTTAAATTTAAAATTCAAACTTATAATTAAATGACTAAAAATATCAATCACCCTTCTCTGAAAATCATATATTAAGTGTTGAGCATATAATATATATAAACATAAATGTGCAATCCAACTATCAACTTAGATTTTTAGTTGAGATAGATCAGAGCACATGCTTCAATTTTGAGGCTTTTAGGTAATTACATTTACCAGAGAAATTAAACATTCTGTTTTGCTGGAAAAATGAGAAAAATAATTTTTTTTTTTTGAAATACTTATTTCTTTACAAGGTAGTATCTGTTCTATACTTTCTCAAACATTTTCAGCCCAAAGAATCTAACCTTCCACCATCGAAATTCAAACCTTTGACCATCCACTTAGATAAATAACCGGGATGTCATCACAGTACATGGTAGTTGGCCTATAACAAAAATTTGAAACAATGAAAAATTAGAAATTGAAAGTAAACGCATCCCGAATCTCTCGATAAAATAAATCCACATTGAACATATGATTAACTGCCAATATTAAGTATTTTAAATTTGTGTTTTCAAAATAAAAAGTATTTAAAATTTGTGAGAAGTGGAAATGGATAAAGATGGGTGCATGTGCAGTGGTAATTGCTCAATGCCAATTAATTATTTTGAACACTCTTTTAACGTGTTCATGAATCATGAGCTGCTACAGATTCATGCACCAGTCACCAGTCTACTGGCGGCTGGCTGCGTTTTTTGAGTCCACCTATCACATAAACTATATATATAAACCGCAGGCACAGTCTATACGCATATATAATCCCACAATTCTAATCGAGCTGGTTTGACAATTATTTTAATAATCACAAAATTTTTTGTGAATACTACTGATGGATTAAATTAATCTGGGTGGTCCGTATCAAATATTCTAATTAATTAAAGAATGAAGATAATACGGTAAATGACAAGTGATAAAGACAAAAGATGTATGCCACGGAAAAAAAGAATTATATTAATATTTATCATCATAATATTACAAGAGAATATGTGATTAGATAATGAAGATGACGATGTATTAACCACAAGTGAGACAACTACACTAGTATTTATACTCAAGAACCCCCTAACCGTTCGATCACCTAAAGAGGAAGAATTAGTTGCAACTACTTAGATCGCGCCCGACCTCGTGGTCAGGCGCCCACCTGGTGCCGTCGGTCGAGGCCTTGGACCAGGGCCCAAGCCGAGCCCCAGGCTGAGGCCTAGGTCGAGCCCGGGGCTCCGCCCTGGGACCTAGGTCCAAACAAAACCCATCTTGCTCTGCTCCGGTTTGCTTTGGGTGCACGGCTGCAGACTTTCCGATACTTACCATGATTAATTTATCTTCTTGTGATCTTTTATCGGGTTAGAGATTACAGACTTTTCCGTACTTACAATTACAACTTGACTTTTTAATTTCCTCACGCCTCTCACCATCCATCTTAATCACATTCTAAGTATCTCATGAGTCATGATCCATCTCTAAATAATGAACATAAACAACAAATACTACGTGATGTAATCTTCTTTATACTCAACTTTTTAAGTAAAGTTTTCGTGATAGTTTGATTTGGAATGAAATTGAATTATTAGAATTAAACAGAATTTGATTGATTATTGGCTATCAATTCAATTGCTTTTGTGGTGGTTTAACTTTTCTGATCTCAGCCAACTAAAAGGTGTGTTCGGTTTATGGGTTTACCTATTAGGAATGGAATCAAAGTCATTGTTATTATTTGGTTGACAGGTTTTTAGAGTGTTGATGTCAAATTAAAAGATGTGTTTCGTCTAAACTAAACGTCTAATACTAAATTGAATGATGTGTTATAGCTCAATTCAAAGTCTAAGTTGATACCAAATTGAAGGATGTGTTATGTTTTAACTAAAAAGTTAAATTGATAGTTGAACTGCATATTTATGTTTATATATTATATGTTGGATCGGGTCAGTCGAGTTCAGCCCTGCTGGATTCAAGACGTGGCATTATGGCTTACCATGGAGGGATGTGGTTAAATGGCCAGGACATGCTGCGCAACTAGACTCTGTGATGAAAGGTTGCGACAAGTGTTGGGAGGATCGAGGCAAGTGGCATCGTGGCTTTCCATGCAGAGATGTGGTTAAATTATTAATGTTCACCTACTTTACTACTTATAGTAAGTATAGTCAATATGATAACCAAATAACCAAAAAATTCCGTAGGTAAATGTGCTTGACTTACATGATAGACGTCCCACTGAGAAGTAAGTATAGTGCAACACGAAAACAATATAATTACATTTGAAAGATTAAAATTAGACAACTAGTGTTTAAAAAAAAAAATTAGTGTTAATTTATACTACTAAAACGAGCGCGTGGGGTTATATGTGTGTAGTGTTTGGGTTTTGACTTTTGACGTAGTCCTTAAGCCACTCGGCTACTTCGATCTGGTCTTCGGTCTCCACTCTCTCACTTGCTTGCTTGCTTCCTCTCCAAGGCCCCACTTGCCTCTCAAGTAACCCTTCTCACTTCTCAACAACATTATGTTGTCACATGCCAACACTACTTCAAAGACTTTGCACCATTTGCATCTGTATTTTAATGATTTTATCAAATTTATTTTGTCATCATATAGTCCATCTCCCTATAATTACCTGGCGTATATAGACACATATGTAAACTTTGAATGTCATCTCTATAACCTGGTCTATATAGACACATATGTAAACTTTGAATGTTATCGCTATATCTAATAAATCGAAAATGTTAGCTAATACATTCAATACGGACACCGATTAGTGACGATGACTGTAGGTCAGAATTTGAATGCCCTACACGTACATACAGTTGATTTCTAGGTGGTAAATTATTAATAAGGATATATAATTAAGCTTTTTCAGCACGGTGGGTTCACCCAATGTGGTGGACGTACTCCTTGTGAGCACTAAGCATAACCATAGTTGCAAAATTGGCGCCGAGACACTGGGCGGTGCCCACCCACATTGAGGAATGACGAAATCGGCCTCCTCTGCGGTCGGGCGCCTAAGCGATCTAGGTGGCCGAACCCCTTTTTTTTTGGGGCAAATAACCCTCTAAAAAAAAAAAAACGGGCGCCTAGCGTCTTTTTCAACGCTGAGCATGGGTTATTCCAAGTCTCACTTAATGGGTCGTTGAGTCACCGTGATTTGTCCATTCATTATCATGTCGGGAACTCGAACACTGGTGTACTATACAAGCTAGGGATTCAATTGGGCTTAGTGATCATTGTTTGCTCGATATTAGAGATGACACTCAAAATTTACAGATTTGTTAAATTATACGACAGGTGATTAAATTTAGTAAAATCGTAAAAATAAATAATGTGATGAAATTATTTACCTATACCTAATTTGAAAAACTCACCCAAGTTAAAAAAAAAACTAGACGTGTATTAACTCAATTAACCAATTATAACAAGTCGGGTTAATCGAAAACTTGACCAGTTATTGTACTGCCCATCAAGTTATAACATTGATTGGTCCAGCAATAATTAAGGTAGTCCAAACAAACACTCACATGAAACACACATTATAACTTAGGCAGTGTGGTGCAAAAATCTTTAATTTGTATTGTACAATAACTTGTGTAACTGTCTTACTTTCCTACTACTTGTCACGCAACTTCCTCAAACCCCCCCCCCCCCCCGCCCTCCCCCACCCCCAAATCCTCTATATATAGTTCCCCTACACCACTCTCACCCTCAAAAACTTATTTAATTTGCTCTCTCAACTTTCTCTTCACATCTCTCTCTCTCTTTCTCTCTGAGTGTTCTTGATTCTTGAAACAAGAAGAAAGATTGATATGGCTCTTGAAGCTTTGAATTCTCCGACCACGCCTCGGGCGTCGGTGTTTCAGTTCGAGGATCCGGCGAGCCTGAGCTACCTTGATCAGCAGTGGGCGAAGGGGAAGCGATCCAAGCGGCCGCGCAGCGTGGAGCGTCAGCCTACTGAGGAGGAGTATTTGGCGCTCTGCCTTATTATGCTCGCGCGCAGCGGTGGTGGGTCGTCGGCTAAGGCGGTGGAGGCTCCGGCGGCGGCGCCTAGGCCGCCGCCGCCTCCGCAAGTTTCGGAGCAGAATAAGCTGTTGTATAAGTGCTCGGTTTGCGACAAGGCGTTTGGGTCTTACCAGGCTTTGGGTGGGCACAAAGCCAGCCACCGCAAGCTCGGCGGCGGCGATGACCATCCTACTACCTCAACCGCCACCAACAGCTCCGCCGGCGCCGGCGCCGGTAGGACCCACGAGTGCTCCATCTGCCACAAGTGCTTCCCCACCGGCCAGGCCTTGGGCGGCCACAAACGGTGCCACTACGAAGGCACCATCGGAAACGGCGGCGGAAACAGCGCCGCCGCCGGCACGTCGTCGTCGGGAACCGGGTCCTCCAATAGCCTCCGCAACTTTGACTTGAACCTCCCTGCCTTGCCGGAATTGTCCCCTGTTTTCCTCCGCCGCTTCGCCGACGACGAGGTGGAAAGCCCCCATCCGGCGAAGAAATCTCGCCTCCAAATTCCGACAAAACTCGAATTGTTCTAGGAGGATCTTGCAGTCACCAAATTATGCAATTTTTAATTTTTATTTTTTCCATTTATCTTTCTGGTTGGGATAGACACAATTCTTTGTTGTAAATACATCAGTTTGATTGTGACAGTGAAGCAAGTGATTATTTAATTAATTCAATTTTTTTGGATGAAATTTTACTATTTAATATTTTTCAATGCCAATTTAATTAATTTTACACATAATATATACAATGAAAATATTTCCGGGTTGAGGCGGTTCCTAGTCCGTTATGTCCACCCATAAAATCAGGAATTGAAAAAAAGAAAGATGATTGTTTTTAGTAAATTAAAATGTCAGATGGGAGTGTGACGAACCGACGATAAGTCGATAATAGTGACTTTTAAATCTAATATTTACATTGATGTTTAATCTATATCAAAATGTGACCATTTCTATACCTAATTTAATTATGCCTAACGCGGGTAGACTAAGAATTTCACACGTTTAGCCACATGGACTCATTCTTCACCTTCAAGCTAAAAATAATAAGAAGAAAACAAAGAAATAAGAGAATTAGTCTTGGTATATTTTCATTTCGAGTGATATTGATTTAAAGGACTTTTTAAGGTGTCATGTGTTTGGTGAAGTTAAATATATTATTTGAAAAATGATAATTGGGGACGATATTACTCTACAAAATAATGCACGCATAAAATGAGGGCTAAAGGTCAATATCATACAAATTTCTAATATCAATTTTTGGGTACTCATAAAAAAATGCTATAATGTCTATACTAGAAGCAACGGTTGAAGACGATTCCAAATAGAAAGTTAGAGAGAAATAAATAAAATTATAAAGTTTTAACTCCAAACTTAAAGACCATTCATTACTCATGTACATTCTGGTCTTTAGGGTCGAGAAGGTAAATTATGTAATGTGTCTCATTAATTGGTCTACTGATCCACCGTCAAATGCTTGTACCACAATATATAAGACTAAATCAATAGGATTTGAACCTGACCTACACTCTATAGTTGTTAACAAAGTAAAGCTTATGAACTTATTTTGGATTAATTAATTAATTAAGATGTGTCCCAACCCGAAGAAAAGAAATAAAATTTATAACACTATGAGTTTAACTAATCGGTTAGTCAACCTAAGACAAATTGCTATGAACTTGATAAATATATATTTCCACGTCAATTTTATAGTAAATTACCTTAGTTATTTTAATTTAATAAAGGATTGGAGATGAATAATTGGTGTGGATAAGCATTTGAACATAGTGAATAGGTGATTAGGATGACATATATATGGCCACCACTTAGTCTAATTAATTGCAAATTGAGATATAATTAATAAGTTAAATAAGTTTCATTCAATAATTCAGATGAGCTAGCTTTAATTTGCCCACCGGACGTGACATTGTTATCCCCTCTTCCTATGTGCCAAATCACATACCATCATATGTCTAATATTCTAAGTCCTCATATAACATTCGTATTAAACTATAATATAACTCATTAAAAAAAATAGCTAACTAAGTAACCTCAAATAGTCATTGTAGTAATTGTTTGGTAGTATATATATTCTTAATTAATTGTTTGTTGGAACAATTTAAAGACATTAATAGAAATGCATATCTCATAAAGTTCTTTAATTATATGATAAGTTCACACTATCTTCACAAAAGATCACGTGAAGAGGGATAGATCGAAGAGGGGCTTCATACTGCTTCGCTCCTCACATGATTATATATATATATATATATATATATATATATATATATATATATTAGTTGTCTTAAGGTAAGTATTTAGATTCAATTAGGATCAAATGTGTATGTGTGTGAGAGAGAATGTATTTTAAAGTATAGTACTCTATATTATAATTGGTGCTCGGTGCTCCACCAACAGGTTCGAAGGCGCTTCTATTTTATGCTCTTGTTAGTTCTCAATGACCTAGATGCTTGTAATAATTTTTCATTTTCTCTCCTTTGTATGAAAAAAAAAAAAAAAAAGGTCACTTTGTAGTACAAATGATTAAACAAATAATTCATCAAGAAGCATTACACCTTAATAGAGCCTACCTAACATGTCCTTGCACTAGAGCCTTGACGACATAAGTAAATTGCAAGATATACTTTAATAGCCTCTAAGTTCTTTAAATTAAAGGTGGTTCTACACTAACGTAGATCAGAGCCAATTTTATATACGTCTCCTGCTAGTAGGAATTGAACCATGCACATGCAGGCTGATGCAGCTATCATTCAATAACGAACCATGCACCCTGCAACGGCCGCAAGTAAATAAGAACTATTAACTCGCAACGGCCACCATGCACCATGAGATCAGTGTCTACTGTGTAATAGCTAATAAACCATATGAAGCTATAACTCTATAAATTTTGGCTGCGGTTATTGCTTGGTCACCGGCATGGGAAAGAGTTGGCATAAAGATTGGTAGTGGGGTGGCAAACCGCGTCTATTCCTCATTTGCCATGTGAATTTCTCCAGGAAATGTGAACCTATTTGTCAAAATTAATGTTTGACAGACAACTAACGATGACGATGAACAACAAACTTTTACCTCCATCTTACATTGCATGCTTAACTATATATTATATTGCCCAATCCGACACGTTCTACTCACCACCTCATCATCATCTATCTATTCCTCTAAAAGATGATTTACATTGTTGGTACACTACTTGTCCAAATTCAATTCATCCAACTTCTTCACAATTTTTCAATATCAAGTGTGTATATATACATATATTAAAAAGCAAAAAAATACTATATGTATTCCCATTTTCTACACTCAACTTTTACACACATATACAATTCTGATAGATGTACACATTTATATTGAGACCCACATTAAAAAAATAGCTTATCAGTACACGTACACATCACATCAGGGAGTAAGATTTGAGAGTCTATGTAGAAGGTAGAATTCTAAAAAGTGAAGATGGATCACAACAGTTTATAAATTTTTATTTTATTTTATTTTATTTGTGTGTGTGAATGAAGCTAAGGGATTAAGATTTATACTCTCATAGTACATAAGTAAAGATTTCTTAACCTTTAAATTAAAAGATTGAAATCATACTAAACAAAGTTACAAATCGGCCAAACCCAGCTCACTAACTACAAATAGAACTAGGATAGGATCCGATCCCTACCTAATCAAAAGGCAAATTGGTTAAATTAGGTCGAACGGTTTACATGGCCTTAAAGTAGCTCATATATACTTCCAATCTACCCAAAGACATCTCACCCCTAATTCCATATAGTTGAAATATGTGGTGCAAATATAATGTTGCCTAATTAATCAGGGTGGCTTATTAGGTCGAACATAATTCATGTATTAAAAAGTTACTAATTTGATTCTGATCTTGTCAACAGTCTGTCGGTCGAGTCCATTGCACATGATTTTGAGATTTTTCTAGTGTGGTTAACATTTCTGGTGTAGTTTACAAGTTATTACGCATGAACGGGATTTATCCAATAAACACATTCAGATAGTGACTGTGGATTTTTTTTTTTCTCCCAAAAGGTGGAATCCTCAATTCCAAGGGCTTCCACACCCCAGCCCAACAGAACATTTGGGAAGATATAATCACGATAACTCAAAGGCTCAACAGAGTCAAATACTGGTGCGCACAAAGGATCTGACCACTTTAAACATAATGTCACACTTTGAAAAGATGGTACAAATGGGGCAAGTTGTATATAGAAATAAGTGATTCCTATTTCCTAGGCATTATTGTATGCTTCTAAAATGGGTAAATTAAAAGTGGGTGAATCTATCTAATCTAGAACCCCATTAATTCTAAGCACCCAATTGATGACTATCAAAACCCATGTTTAGAGAAGGGCCTACCTTACCTTTGAAAGATTCCTGGCCATGCTCTCAAGTTGGGTTCAACTAACTTCTTAATAATTCCATTAGAATTGTAGCTTAGTCAGGTCGGCACCCTAAAAATACAAATTAAATTCAAGCAACAAGTCGGTCGGCACGCCCATTATTAATTAAAGAAAGATATGTGGGTATGATAGATACATGGCAAATTAAATGGATGGTCCAACACAACACCCAATTCTTAAGAATTATACCCTAATCACGAGAGTTCAATCCACTGCTCGTATCTTAAACAATTGGTGGAAGTGTTTAATTGCGAGATGTGCTCAATTAGCCAGGGCCAAAGAGTTTATACACGAACTTGTGACCTAGCTCTGATACTATTTGTTAGGATCAAACGCTTACTATTATACTGTCACATTTTTTAGAGTTAGGGTGCTGGACTTGTTCTTCACGTTTCGATCTGTCCAATTAACAATCTCCTTAATTACTAATTACTGGACTTAACCTTTCACCGAGCTCCGTCCAACAAGAACACAACACATGAGTGTTGTATGTAGAGAGTGGGGAATATGATAAGAGTTGAGAGAAAGCTAATTTGCTCAGGAATAACCCAATCGCCTGGGATTAACTTTAAACTTCTTTTCATCTTCTCCATGTGAAATGGAATTTTCTGTGTTGTTTGATGATTGGTTGAAGCCAGTGTTGTGCACTTGTGCAGTAACTAAAAGAATCACTAGTGCAAACTTGGAAATGATTCAATGAATCCGCGTAACAAGAGATTTTTTTTCTTTTACCTTTTTCTTTTTAAAGAAAATATATAATATAATTATGATATTTATTTTTTTGATCTATACTTTCTCAACTTGTTGAAGCACGAAGAGTCAACACCACCTCTACTGAGGCACCTGTTGAAGCACGAAGAGTCAACACCACCTCCACTGAGGCTCGATCTCATAACCTCCTATATATGGGAGAATCACTACATGTCATCTGAGCACAACGTGCTTGGCAAGAAACATGTGTGAGAATGCAACATTTTATGAATATGATTTCAACAAAATTGGTTTAACATAAAAATTACAGTGAATCAAGCCCTGTTTTTCTTTCTCAAATTTTCATTTCTTGGAAGAATTTATCACGTTAGTAGATATAGAAGAATGGAGAATGTCACTCATATGAGAGAGACATATTAGATTGCTATATATGTCAGCCATAGTTATGCCCTGCCAAAGCTAAACAAGCAGAATGGATTTCACAACAAATTCCCACCACCTTGAAGCCACTTCTAAAATGACAATGATACCTGTGATTCACTGCTCATGGAGGTGGTGTTTGGTTAAGAAGTTCCTTGTGATGGTGTATCTTTTAGTTGTATCAGATGTGTCCTCAGACTACAATGTTTCACCTGCAGTAAAACCTTGTGTCAGTTTTAAGTAGATGCCTTTATAAACCCAGAGTCCTACACCCGCTCCGACAAGATAGTGGAGCAATAAATTATAATAATTTATGACCTATTAAGCGAGGGGATTAATGTTTGGTGCTCACGACATTGAATGTAACTCCTATGTTGCAGCTGTCAAGGCTCGATTCTGTATCTTTACCCATAATCTACCACCCAAGAATCAATTAAGCTTCTCGAGTGGGCATCTATTGGCACTTATTAATTCAAGGATAGGATGCAATTTTTTTTTATTTCTTTTGCTTTTAAAAGTTGTGTTTGTGAGCTTCAAGCCTTACATGATGAGTAGATTCCATAGTTACCTGCATGTCTGTGACTGTTGATAAGAGATCTCTGCATTGGTCAAGTGAGGAGTGCTCACTGGAAACTGTACTAGAGAGCTCAATCAACAATGAACTCATCTGCTCAACCTGTAGTCAATTAAATGATAATGAATCAAAACAACAACTCTAGAAACATCCCTATGCAAACTTATCTTGATTAGAAAAAATAGCATTCTGTACCTTGGATTGCAACAAGCATATTGAGGGTGCTATTGCCTGCACCATATTAACAGCTGAGCAAATAGCCCTCTTTAGCTTTTGAATATCTGCCTGCAAATAATTAAACCAAGGAGGAATGGAATTTTCTTAGGACTCAATGTGATATTGTCAACGTTGAAACGAACCAAATATGTAATGACAAAAAGCGAAAGAGAAGAATACCCGGGCTCCATTTACAACTGGAAGACGAATAGTGCTCACCTCCAGAGCACATATAGCTGATGACAATGAACTGCAGTGTTCTTTATCAATTAGACACCAGTTTTCAAAACATGGTACCTGTATTCATTAGAATAAAGGATCATTTGTAAAGGATATGTCATACTAAGACAGAAAATATACATGCAAACTCATAAAGCTAGAGACCATAAGATATTGAACAAAATTTAAAACATTTCTAACATGGGGAAATAAAAAGGAAAAGAAAACGAATCTTACTTGTCCTTTGAGGATGCGATACAACTTCAAATTTTGTTTCAACAAAAGCAGCTCTGTTTGTTTGGACTTAACTGAATGCAACAGTTTTGAATTAGCCAACTGCACATTGTATAGGTTCCGCTGTGCAAAGAGGTAAGCTTTACATTAAAGGGACAGAACAATCATGATATAGATCGCTACAATAAAGTGAGACTACCTGGCCTCCATGTATTTATATATTAGAAGGAAACAATATTCAGGTACCATCCAAGACACATACTGAATAAGATTGCTTAAAATGGAAGAGGGCTAGACCCACTGATAACATGAAAATGGAACAGTGTAACTAAAAAGCTTAATCAGAACTAGCTTGAGCACGGCAGCAATCTGGGCACCCAAAATAACTTAGTTAACAGATAAACCATTAGCTAATACATAACTCCCTAACCATCTCAGTTCCCCAAAAAAAGGACTTTAATTTGAAGATAAGTTAACCTAGAGCTTGATGATCCAATCTATCAACTAGGTTGAAGGTTCTGTATCTGGGAAGTCTAAAATTTGAAAACTCCTGCCCTTTAGTACTCCATTATTAACCTTTGGTGAAAATTAATTAACTCTTAATCAAGCTTATTAAAGAGCTCGACCAGCTTGAAGCTTGAGCTCTAAAAGTAGAGCTTCGCTGAGCTTCGAGCTTGCAATGTCTGATTGGGTTCAAGTACACCCCAAATAAACTACATTAGAGATAACACTAGTGTATTGAAATACAATATGCATCCTAATGGACCTAATAGCCTCTATGTTATTTCATTATCTCTATAGAATCATTGAATGAGTCAAAATCCTTCAAATGATGCGAATTTCATTTCTTTATGACTCAATCAACTTGACTATACGACTAGTAATCCATCTCAAATCATTACTTAAAACACCTAATTGTCTCCAACAGCTTGAACCCCTATTTCCTCTTCCAATACCGTCATTTATAACTTTCTATACCTCATTCCCAGACTTTGGGATGCAGTTTAGAACTTAGCATTCTGAAGTAGAACTAATCTACAAGTCAGATACTACCAGCACATAAGTTTATTTAACATTCCATTTGTTCTTAAATACTAATACAAGGTCATATTAAGTTATAACCACAAAACAATGATTATACAAGGCTTACATTATCCAGACACATAAGAAAAACTTAGCAAGTTTAGAGCTTACCTCTGCTGTTTCTGTCAGTTTGAAGTAAGCACTATCAGTTTTTGCATTGGCAAAACGCCATTGCAAGTGCCGATTATATAAAAGCCTGAATTCATGCACATCAGCAAACCAGTTCTCTCCTGCCTTCCCTCTTGTATCAGTACCAAAGCTCAAAGTTGAAGGTGTATTGCCAACATTATTAGCCGTTGTAATGACAGCTCCAATTCTTGCTCTAGCAGCACTTGAACTCCCCCTCAGCCGATAGGTTGTTGATGGAGTTGAAGTCTTGCTTGGGGATCCTGATCTAAAACGACCTCGAAGATAAGATGAAAAACCTCTAGTGTGTCGGCCTTGTAAAACAGAACCACATTCCTGTCCACTTGAACCACTCCCTGATGAAACACTCTCACTATCACAAGCTACTTCTTCTGCAGAAATTGCTGATCTATAGCTAGAATTCAGATTAGCTACGGGCACGTCTATCCTTAAAGGCTCAACCTTCTCTTTAGTTTCAACATCAAATTGGTTAATCTCATCAGTGACTGATTTCTGTGACAAACGAACTATACCTCTAGATACAAACGTGCCACTATATTTACCACAATCCAAGCTTCTCGAGTTTACATACTTTGATCTCCCCAGCAAGCTTAGTTTGTCAATAGCCCTCTCACTCTCCATCCTATCCTTCACTGGCCTTTCCATCTGTGCCACTGCTCCTTTATTCAAACTCGAATTCGCAGGCTTTGTTCTCCCCGGGGCAATGCGCTTTGCATTGTTCATTTGGTTCACTTTTTCTGTCTCTTTCTCGGATCTCTTTCTCTCTGAGGTATCTATCCTATCAGCAAACTTTTTAACCGGCTTTGCTTTAGTTCCGATCAGTGAGAACGACTCTCCCTGAAACGAAACCGACTTACCTCTCGTCGAAGTCAGAAGCAGTTTCGTCGCCGCAGACATCTCCGAAGTCCCTGCAGGCCTCCGCCTGCCCACAGACTGCGACCGGCTAACCGTAGCCGAATTCTGAACAGGAATCGCCGGTGATTTCCCCGTCCGCGTCACATTTGGCGCTTCACGCTGCTTCGACGTCGAGTTGGCCAACGACGATGAATTCGAACTCGAGGAGATGGAAGAAGACGAACTCAACAAATACCTTGAACTAACCTCCTTCGATTTCGGTCTCCTCCTCGGCTGTCCATTCTCAGCTTCGGACGGAAACAATGGCCGCCTCTTAGGGTTGAGAGTCGCCGTCGCCGTCGATACAGCTGTCACCATCCTTCCTACCTTCCACAATCTTCACATCTCCCACTCACTACTTCAATTCCCCACTCCAAAACCCCAATTCTCCATAAACTAACTCAAACAATCCAAATTTACCAGCACAAGCAGGTTATAGAAACAGAGCAAATGGAAGTATAGATAGATAAATAAATGCGTACATATGCACACACACATATATATATATACAGGTATATGCAGAGAGAATCAGATTAATGTCTTCCCGTAATAGCTGAAGAGAGAGATGCATGATGAGAGCATGACCGTTACCACCGGCGAAATTATACGGTGAAAAGGAGCCGGGAAGATGAGACGTCGGAGTGTAACTGTCAGGCAGATTCGTTAACGCTTCGCAACTTGTACGATCGCGCGGAAAGGTCGTACCCTGGGTTGGCGGTAGCAGTTAACATACAACACGGGCGAGTGGGGCCCGCGTACAAAAATTGATATGTTATTTCAGTTAAAATTTTGATAAATCCTTTTTTTTTTTTTTTTTTTTTTTTTTTTTTTTTTTTCGTTTGATTATATTTTAGACTCTATAAATACCATCAAGATATATGATGGGTAAATTGAGTCAATTTAGTTTTTGAAATATAAAATTAATCTGTACACTACTGCATACAAAGAGTTCAATCTAAATTTAAATTTCTAATATTTGTAGTATGAATCGAAATATGACAGTAAACTATTGTAATATCATATCACATTAAGTAAATCATGTAACTTAATATCCCAATTCAACATTTTAAAAGTGATAATTAATTGAAATGAATATGAATATTAAATGTATAGAGAGAAAAAAAATTCAAATTTAAAATTAATTATAAATTAAAAATTCAAATTCAAATTTAAAATTAACTTGAAAATATTAAATGTAGAGAGAGAAGAAGATTTTAAATTTTAAATTTAATTATAACTTAATGAGATGATGTCTTAATATATTAAAAAATTAATGAAATGTGTAAATTTGATTTATTAGTTTATACTCTTATAGTAATCTTCCTTTATAATGGTTGTACTAGCGACCGGAAAGAATGTTAATCTGTATTTGATACTCACAAGCTTTATAATGGGTGGTGTGAAAATTATATATGTCTACATGGCATAATCAACTTGATAATTAATGTTGTGGAAAAGATGAGAATGGGCTGAATGGTGGAGTGGACCAACAATGAAAAATGTAACTAACGTAGATTATATTACATGAGTTTAATGTAGATTATATTAATGAGTTAATACCTAAAATGGTCCTCGACTATAGTGGTTTTTCTCAATTTCGTCCTAAACGACTTTGGTGACCTAATATCGTCCCAGACTTTTGTTTTCGCTCAATTTAGTCCCAGACTTTTGTATTTTTGCTCAATTTAGTCCCTCATTTGCTATTCTGTCCATTTGGTGTTAAATAAATAGACAATTCAGTAATTTTAATATTGGCATCTCTTTACTCATAGACATGTGAACTGTGAAATCCCTTTTTTTTTTACGAATTACTCCCAGAATTACTCCTAAAACTGCGAATATAAAATTTGATTTGTAGGTCCGGGAGTAATTCTGGATGTAATTCGTACAAGAAAGAGAAATTTCGCACTTCACAAGTTGAAAGTAAAGAGAGATCAATACTGACATTATTGAATTGTCCCTTTATTTAACACCAATTTGACAGAATAACAAATGGAGGACTAAATTGAGCGAAACACAAAAGTCTAGGACGATATTAGGTCACCAAAGTCGTTTAGGACGAAATTGAGAAAAACCACTATAGTCGAGGACGATTTTGGGTATTAACCCATATATTAATATTTGATTGAATATTTACTAAATTAGATTTGCAAGTGTGAATGAGTTGTGGGGGTGTGGGGTATGAGTTATAATTAAGTTTGAGCATTTGCATGTGTGGAGGATAGGGATAGGATTGAAATAATTAGAAGCAAAAGTTTAGAGCCTCCCAAAGATATGATGGAGGCGTCATTGTGAAGCTAAGCATGTTTGCATGCTAATCATTTTTCTTGGAGGGGAAGAGAGTTATATTGTTCTAGCTAGGTCAAATTCAAGGACTCCCCACATCAAATTTCTCACACAATTGAATTATTGTCGAATTTTGTTTACAAGTTTTTTGATACAGTCACTACCCAAAAATGCGTTCAGGGTAAAACTTGTATGTATTGTAACCCTAGGCGACAAAAGACTAAGGAGATCAGATAAACTAGTCTAAATTGTTCATATCTGTCCAGCTCAAACCAAGAAGTTAAGGTTAATAAACATTTCTGATCCCATAGAGAATCGAATTTAGGACCTTTTGATTACCGAGTCAACTATCCGACCAATTTGACCATGATTCGCGGTATAGTTTGCCCCATAAACCATTGTATAATTCAAATACAACAAATTTATGCAACAACATAAAGCATTCACTCCATTAAGTTCAAACTTCAAACATACAAAGTACATATTTTGGAGGCCATGGACTAAGAATCAAGAATTGCACACCCTGCAATCCTTAACAATACACATAACACCACCCATAATTTACAACAAAAGCATAGCAATAATATCATACAAAGCATGGTCTGTTGATAAGCCATAAGTAGTTAACATGGAGAAGTTATCACACCTTTCACCATAGATTATATTACACAGAAGCAGAGAGGAGTTCGGCTAAGGAACACCAAAAAACGATGAGGAACTTGGAGGGGGCGACGGGATAGGAATATAAGGCATGAGAGGAGTACCGTGCTGTATGGGTCCCGGTTTCACTGAAGCTTTTGAACTTGGCACTGGATCGATCGGACCATAATCATCTGTATATGCTTTGCCACCATCGCCATCATAAGCGCTAGCATCCTGCAGAGTGGAAGCAGAAATGGCAAAATAAAATGCGGGGAACAAAGAGAGGGAGGGGATATGATCTTCCTGTGTATATATACAAATCGATTTGAAGTTTTGAAGTTTTGTAGTTTTGTACCTTCAGTTTCCGGTTGTTAATCGGAGTTGATGGCATATCATTCCCCCGCCATGCCAAATCTGCAGAATCTGATATATGTTTTAAGGACAGTAGTAATATCGGGAAATAGGCAAACGAGTGAATCTGCAGAATTTGAAGTACTGACTACAATCTAAACGTTTTGGTGAATGTATGTACTCATGATGAGGAACCACAGACAAGTGAATTTCGAATGTTCTTCGCCACATTACAAATGAAATTCCGCAATGTTGTTGGAAACGTATCCTTACCCAGAATAAGCAAACATTCTCAGACTACTGTCTTTTTTTTTAATACTACTGACTCTATTGCAATGCAGTATCTGTTCATAACTACTTTCTCATAACTTACTGAAGCACAACGAGTCAATACCGCTTTCTGAGGCTCGAACCCACAAGCTCCCATATCTATCACAAAACAAACCCTAATGTCATAGATTTAATCTTGCTGCAGGCACCAAATCTTATACTTTTTTTGAATACATTCCCAGCTTAAGCCATACTAATTCTAAGTCTCAAGAACCTCTGTCCAAGAGTCGCTCGAAAAAATAAATCGCGAGTCACCATAGCAGCCTCCCAGTTAGTCCCTATCTTTGACTTTGGGCATAACGGGTCCATCTTCACACTAAATCTTATACTGCCTAACATGATTTGACTTGTAGTAGGATGGCCAGTTCACTATCCAACATGAAAGATTATGGCCCTATTTGGTAAAACAGTTAGCCTATCAGACAATTTTAGCTTATTTGACCAGTATTAACTGTTTGACTTGGTTAAACAATCAATATGAGTGTTTGATTAATTAGCTTTTTGTAACAACTTATTGTCCCAAAATACTAAAATTCAAAAAGCTGCTCAAGGCTTTTTGTAACAACTTTTTGTCCCAAAATACTAAAATTCAAAAAGCTGCTCAAGGTAGCTTTTTCGATCAACTTTTTGAGAAAGTCATTTTGTATGTAATCAGCTAGTTACACTTTTCTACAATCCGCTAATGCTATCAACTAGTCAAACTCACTAACCCAATCAGCTAACAGCCATTTATCAAACACCCCCTATCACACATTCACAAGCTAAGATCTGGTGCAAATATCATGTTCCATAATTCTGTGTGGATATTGTGTTTCTAAGAGATCAAATTAGGGCATAAATGGTATAATGTGAATAAACAACAAAGAAAAGTAAGAGAAAATCAATCTTCACAGTACAAAATAACCACTCTCTTTCTCAAGCTCACTCCATAATCTCTCCAGAAACCCTAATAACATAAATTTCATGAACAAAAACAGGGAAACACCAAACCAAAATTACAAGAAAAAAAATAAAAACAAGAGAAAGCTAAGTACCCATACCTTTTGATGAACAGACGATGCATATGGAAGCTGCCCCAGCCACCAAGAAGAGAACCGAAAAGCACCCAAGAAACTTCATTCCCGAAATCAGAAGAAAATTTCTTTCTTTCACACACTTAAACGAAGGAAAACAGAAACCTCAGGACATTGAAATACTCGCAGAGAAGAAGGGTTTGGCAACGATTCCAGAAATTGCGCGGAGATAAGAAGCAGTGGAGCGCCATTTCGCTGGCCCATCTCCATAAATAATATACTATACACTATTAATAATGGCGAAAAGAGAGATTAAATGGCCTGGGGAGCATTAAATTGTTGTGAAAGTGAGTCTTGAAGTTGAATGTAGAGCAGAGAAGTAAATAACGAGCGCGGTTGGTCTGCGCTGCAGAAAGCATTGAACAATCGATGAAATGGGGAAAGATGAACATTGAATATGAGCATTGAATGCCATTCCGGTTTTTTGGAAAACGAGCGCTCGAACCCGCCGTTGAGAGTTGAGACGATTGGTTTTTGTTTTGTCGCGCTGTGGTGTGGTAGAGAAGAAAGGCAAAAAGAACACGACAACTTTAAAAACAATAACAAAAATTCTATAGAATATTACAACATTTGGAGTAGGATAACGAGCTCTTGACTATTGATATTTATTAATTTTGAAAAAATTACACTCTTGACTATAACGTTTTTGACTTTAAAAATTAACAATTTCAGTTTTGTAATTATATAATTTTTAACACATTTGCAACAGGGGAAGAGCGTGGTGACTCAGAGGTTGATTTAAATATCAATTGACTGTTTTGTCTCCATGAATAAATAATTTTAAAAGGTTTATATTTTTCTTGCGACATTTGGCTGGGTGGACTAAATGGGTTAAAAATTGCATAGTTATGAGACTAAATTGTTAGTTTTTAAAGTCGATGACTGAAATTAACAAGACCTCAATAGTTATATAAGACCAACAATGTAATTTTTTCTATTAATTTTTATCATCAACTTTCAATTAGATAGATCATAAATGAGTTTTTCGCATTTTTGGTCTCACAATTATAGTAGCACTATCAGGACTGATCCACAACTTTCAAACATTGCAATCTCGGTCCACGACTATTGTCTTTTTTGCAAAATTGGTCCTTTCGGCTCATTTTTCGTCAATTTCCCAGTCCGTTTTTACTGGGAATGGTTCTTACTCCGGTTAGAAATTGACGAAAAATGAGCCGGAAAGACCATTTTTGCAAAAGAAAATCATGGACCGAGATTGCAAGGTTTGAAAGTCGTGAATCAATCTCAAGTTGTGAGACCAAAAGTGCGAAAAACTCGATCATAAATGGCCCATTGACTATTGACTATTGACATTTTTTTTTGAGTTTTTTGCACTTTTAGTCCCACGACTATAGTGGCACTGGCAGAATTGATCCACGACTTTTGAACCTTGCAATTTTAGTCCACGACTATTGGTTTTTTTTTTTGCAAAAATGGTCATTCCGGCCACTTTTCCGTCAAAATTTCACCGGGGAAAAAAAAAATTCTCTATTTTTAACCGGGTTAAATTTGACATTTTACTTATCTCAAAAAATTAAAAGAAAAAAATTGATATTTGACTACATACAATATTACTGGGCTACATACTACTGCCCCAGGCGGCGGAAAATGTGCACCAAATAAAGCATATTATTGTATAATAACATACAAATTACACAAAAAAAGTAAATCGTACTAAAAAATCCCAACAACGGGCTCGACCAAGAAGTGTTGGCACGGTTTGAGTTTTGAGTTTTTTGAATTGTTTCCACCAATAAGGCGATGATTTATTAGTGACAGCAGGTTTGGTGGAGGAGTGATGCAATGGAGGGATGAGGCATCAGAAAATTGAAAGCAAAGCAGACTAGAAATGAATACACTGCCATGACGTGTTCTCTTCATCTTCACCAAACAAATGAGATCAGAGTTCAGAGCTTCTTAAGTAGACCAACATGCAAGCCACTCCCCTGTCCATTTCAGTGTGCTTGTTTATTTGGAAGTTTTTTTTTTTTTTTTTGAAAACTTGTTTATTTGGAAGTTGAGAAATTATTACCATAATTTAACTTTATTTCAATTATATATGGAATTTTATGAAAATGGAGTTTGTTAATAGGTTCACAACTTGACATTATTAAGACAATAAAAGAAAAATGAAGATAAAAGCAATTAAGGAAGGTAAGGACTTAGGCAGTGGACATAATCTTCTAGATGCAATATAGAATCTATAAAATTGGTGGTAAAACACCAAACAGAAATTAATGAAAATGCACAGGAAAATCATAATATACTAATCACTCTTGTGATCAAATAAACAATGATTAAGACAAAAAATTGGGCGCCTACTCTTGTGATGCTTCAATTCCAACTCCTTCAAGCACACAAAGCATCCAAATTAAAATATTCTTATTTTCCTATTATTTTCTTTTTTTTGGTAGAAACCACAATATAGTCCGGATCTTTCTCTATCCGTTTAACGGTCTAGGTCCACTCGGTGCGCTCCGAGAGACACAGAAGCTGGCCTAGAGGGAATCGTCACTTGTGGAAATTGAACCCGGGTTATCCCGGAATTCTCCTCCATAAAGAGAGCTCAATTGCTACTTGAGCTACCCTCTTGAGTTCTTATTTCCCTATTCGCATAGTGAGAAATAAAAACTGTGCAATGACTGCCTTGAAAATTCAATTCAACTTTCGTTATTATTGAATTTTCTCCCAAGGCAAGCCAATAGTTGTTGTGCACCATACATCAACAAGATAAAATCACAAATGATTCACAAACATTAAGAACCCTAACTTGGGTTTCTACCCCTTTATGCAATAATGACAATAGTAGCACCTAGATATGTTAGACAACTTTAACCCACGTCCGGAATGGAACCATTCTACTGAAAAGAGAAGTAGAATCTTGAAATTCAAGTGCTTAACCTTCAAATACAAGTTTCAATAATGTAAAAAAAATAAATAAATAAATAAAAATTAAAAAAAAATCTAGAACTATTCTAAGCTAAATTTGCATAGGAAAATGAGAGAAAACTAGATAAGGCTATTTAGGGTCCGAACTCCCTTCAAAAGGACCAAAATGGTTTAAATACAAAAGAGGGAATGCAGCGCAAATGATTGTGGTAAATAAATAAAAGTCAATGATGTAATTATGTAAAGTAAAAAGAGTACGATTAAATATGACAATAACCACAATAGTCAATGACTAAATTTTGAATTTGCTATTCACCTTCGTTATAGAAAAAATAGAATGGGCCATATAAACTCTTGCAAGCTATCAAGAAATTGAATAAAACCCAAAACAGACAAGAAGAAATAAAGAAAGCAGCGGCAGCAAGCTTGGATTCATACCAAGAAATTGGCAAAACAATACTTTTCCACACTATTAACTTCAAAAGGAAAGCCAGACTGACAAGGTGCACACTAGCCCATTTTTTATCCATTTACTGAATACAATTCAAAACTGGAAGGATTCAATACATCACATTCACATCAAAGAGATTGCATTCAGAAGATCCAAAATGAACTTGAGAACCAAGAAAGCCAAATGTATGAAGATCAAGTTGGATCACCCATATAAACAAAACAGGGCAAAACACAATTTACAGAGAGCTAAATGTGAGATTTACATGCTGCGGCCGAGAAATGGAGCACAATATACCATATCCCAACGTTCTTGTTTTCTGCAGGATGCAGAAGATCTGGCCATCTCTTTCTCATATCTCTTCACCATTTCCCACAAGATATGAACATCTTCATACTCACAAGTCTTTACAGCATGATGCAGCTTCACAAGCCCTGTTAAGTTTCAGCATGATAAATACTCCCAAACAGACATCACACACACTTCTATATGTATAAAAGCATGTATGGATAGTGACGAAATTTCTATCCCCTGGTTTTGCAGATACTAAATAATAATCATCATCATCATCTTGACTTGAGATCGTGTAAGCTAAAAAGCACTCTGTAAATAAAATCATCTATTTTAACTCGTTCAAGAATAGTTATTTCACTTCGTTTTCACTGCAATGCCCATCAAATCCCTCAAATGCACCCCAATCTACCCCTGCCTTTCTTAAAATGGTTGATTTTTGAACAAAAATTATGTAGCATTACACTAAACACAGATCACGCAACCCCAAATTATCAGTTGAAGTATGTTAACAAATGAGCAAAATGAAGTATGTTAACAAATGAGCAAAATAATCAGGAGAACCTGTATTGGCAACTTTTACCCCTAACCATCCCATACTAGCCATTTTCTAACTTGGTTTAGCGCAAGAGGCATACTATACTCGAGTACAAAGCTTTGTAATCAGCACTTAGCCACTGACAGAGCAATTCATTTTCCTATTCTTCACAAAAATTCAAGCATAATTCTATTAACCACTAGATATTTATAGACATTTTACCTAAATGCACCTAAAGTTCAGTATATATGTATATGCAACACATTACATTTAACCTGAAATGCACCTGAAGTCCTGAAGTTCAACACACACACACACACACATAGACTCATGATCAAATGAGTTCTCCCCTTTCCATGAGTCCGTCCGTGTGGACAGATCTAACCATTGATCTCTAACCTTTAATGGACCAGATCTGTCCACACGGACTCATGGGAAAGGGTGGACTCACTTGAAAGTGTCCTATATATATATATATATATATATATATATATATATATATATATATATATATATATATGCAACATATCAGCTGGAGCTGAAATTCAACTAAAATGTATTGTGGTGTTTGTTATCAAATTGTAATCATTTAAATGCTAGTGCCAGTGTGCCACCTAAAATAGAAGAACCTTGATTCCCTAGGCTGGAACATGAAACGTTTTCACTGCAACTTTCAAATTGTACCTATTAGTTTTCAGCTCATATCAATATAGCAACCTGCCTAACTACGTGGATTCATACAGATTAAAATATAATACAATGGCCTGACATAGTTGACAGCATTACAGCAAGTAGCATTGCAAAATGACGACTCTGGTTCATACATTATTTTATATTATATTATGTATAAACGGGAAGTAGGTTTGATAAACAGACCTTTTCTGCGAAAATGGAGACGATAAGCGAATTTAGTCCATGCTTTCTTCATCGGAACAAGCATTTTCCCCCAAAACTTCATCTCTGCATCCATTCTCGCAATACGCCCTTTCCTATCACTTTACCTCTCACCCCCACTCTAACTTCACAGAAAATTCCTGCGTTTCCTCTCTCAGCTTTCAAAATCTACCAGATGAGATAGATAGATAGATAGATAGATAGAGGGAGGGAGAGCTGGAGATAGGTTAACACCAGATTATCTGCAGCCCTATCCTGTACAATCTCAACGAAAACCAAAATAAATAAATAAACACTCAAAATTCACCAGTATTCTTCCACAGCAATAATCACATTGATAAAAACCGATCACGGAGAAGAATTAACATAACATTTTCTTCAAAAAAGAAGAAGAAGAAGAACCTGTAAATCCGAGAGAAGATGAGCGTGTTGAGAGAGAGAGAGATCAATTCTCTCTGTGGACATGGGAGGAGAAGAATGTGGCAATTTAGGTAGCTGCTTTAATGATGACGTAATTGTATGTTAAAAAAGATGAAACGTGGCGCTCCGTTGATTGCGACCGCTTTTCTTCCGTTAACAGATTTTTTTGTGTGTGTCGACGTGGGCGTTTTTGAGTGGCTGGCGTCGTTTCGGGCCGTAAGAGCATCCACACTTGTGGATATTGTTGAGATAATTCAGCATTCATTCTTCCCTCTTTGAGATAATAGCTAGTGTGGACATGAGATAATTGAAAAATAATCTCCCTGCAAATGTAGGGAGATTGTCAGAAAAAAAAAAAAAAAAAAAAAAAAAAAAAAGAAAGAGGAAGAAGCAAGGCTGTGCGCGTTCGCGCAAAAGCCGGGCGCGTGCACTGCACGCGCCCGGAGGCGCGTCAGGCGCGCCTGACGCGTCTGATTACTTTTTTTTTTTTAATTTTTTTTTTTTGTTTTGTTTTTTCTTTTTTTTTTTTCTCTCCCCTCCCACACTCTCTTTCCTAATCACTCTTACATTATCTCCACATTCTCCCCAACCAATGTGGATGCTCTAAGATCAATTTAGCAATTATGATATATAGGTGGGCCCCCAACCACGATGTTTTATTGCGGAAGCTGATGGGCCCTTTAGGTACAACGGTCTGCGCTGCGTGGCAAAATTGTATGAAGTGGGCGCTCTCAACGATTTTTTTCGTTTCTCTCGTTAATTTTTTTTTAAAATAAAAAATTTCCATGTTTCAAATGTACGAAATTGTATAATAGAATACACATAAACTCTTAACATAATACACATAATTTAATATAATACACATAAATACTTAATATAATACACATAAACTTTTAACATAATACACATAAACACAAGTGTTAAAAAAAAAATTTAACACAATACACATAAACTCTTAACATAATACACATAAACACAAGTGAAAAAAAAAAAAAAAACTGTAACGGGATTGGACAGATGGAACGGTGTACGTCGCGTCAACTCGTCACCAACTTATAGAAACGTCGCAAGATATAACGATTGGCGTTGCGTGCCCAGAGTTGTTATACCATGGACCAGGGTCCACCTTGATCCTAAAGGAAGTATAAATTGTGTATTTTTAGTATTAGAATTGTGTTTCTAAGTCAAAACACATAACAGTTGTAAAAAGGAATTTATAAATACAATACATGGTCATCAAATTCTAATTTGTTAATTTTGTGTGCTGCAGTATTTGAAAGGAACTTGTGAATACAAAACAAGGTAATTAATTACATATATGTTAGCATTGTATGTTCGTAGTATACAAATTGTGAATGTTTAAAATGTAAATTGTGAACATTTAGTATGTGAAATGTAAATATTTGGACTTGGATCCATAGAATAATTTGCAGTGTGCCCAAATGGAAAAGATCAAGTAAATGGAGTATAATTTTTGTACTAATGTTTATAATATATTATCAAAAATTGCTTTCTCTTTATGACGTAAACATAATCTTCCTAATATAAATGAAATATTATAACAATAAGTCAATAACTAATACTTAATCCTACCACAATTATTAACTATAAATATCATCTATAAACAATATTGCAATTATTAAGTGTGACATTTCTTTCATTTCTTGTAAGTCGTAACACTTGTTGAGTAATGCATGTTTGTACTTTATCAAATTTCAACATAATAATATGGATTTCACCTTCTTTACCTTATTTATCTACTATTGTTTTCTTAAATTATTTTAATATAATTATACTTTTAAACATTAAATACTTATTTTTTTTATATATACAAAAATTAGTTGTGTAACAAAGTGATTATATGATTTCAATATTTTTTTTTTATAAATAGCTACTCATGTGTGATTTGCGAAAGTATGTGTATAATATTAAAATTATGGATACATTGAAATAATTTGAGAAAAAAAAAATCATCTAGATTTAAAACGCTGTAAATTTCATATTTCATTGGAAAATGTTGTTATGCATTACCAAACAAGTGCTTCAAGAAATGGTCAAATTAGTAATCACTATAAATTATAGCTGATAATTATAGATAATTATGATATGATTAATTAGTGTCATAATATTAAAGTTTAATGCACTAGATATTTTTGTATATGGTATGAGGGTCACCAAAGTTGAAGCCAACTAGTAATGGCAACCAAGTTGATCAGACAATTAATTTGGTAATCACAAAGTTCTAAGGTCAACTCCCTATGAGAGCTATTTATTGACAAAGTGTACCTTCGAATAGCGATTGTGAGTCACCAAAAAAGTGAATCAATTAATCGAGAGACTCAATAATGTGATCAAACATGCATTGCTAAGCTGGCACATCCTAGAGCCTATAGCTAATACTGGACTACTCAACAAGGAGAGTTCCCCACTACAGAAGCAGAATTCAAAAGAACAGTAAGAATGATACATTAGATATTAGTTACTAAATATTGATCCTATGGAATAATATGATATGACTAATTTGGGGAATTATATATATATATATATATATATATATATATATATATATATATATATATATATATGGCTGCTGAACTTCTCTATAATTACTCAATTCTTCATGCTGTGATGAACTTTGCAATTAGGCTCAGAAACTAATCTGTAACAGCTTTCTTCAAACTTGCCATGTATGTCAGATAAATGGTCCATATGTATGAACATGAACTGTTCATCAATGGCTGGCCGAAAAAAGTACAAAATATTACACTTTTATACTAAGTTAGAGATTAGTAAAAGGCTGCAATTGTATAAAAAGGAATATAACAGACCTGCAAATGGACTGGGATTACTTTGTATGTCAAGAAATCACAGACTGGCCAGTACATGAGACCAGACATCAATGTTGGCAGCAAGTCACGCTTTAACCTTGCAGCAATCTCCTTTCCACTTTCACCTAAAAAGTCTCACATATAACGCAAATGAGCAAAGGAAAAAATTAAGATTTCTTTGATATGCTCCAAGTTTACAGAATATCCTATTAGGTTCTCTTTACCTTTCCCTTGGCCTAATTTATTGGTATTCATACTCATAGTAATATCCAATAACTCAGATGAAACTTCAGATCTTTCAATGGAAAAAGGAAACCATCTAATCCTCTTAAGAAGACTAAAAAGACAGCACAACTAGATATGTTCCATTGAGTGGTTCCTAGTGTTGGTGTTTAGTTTCCTTAATATCTTCTTTCAAATCCTCCAAATTAGCACCTTGTTAGGAAGTTCATATCAAATCATAAAAAGAAAAATAATAATATTGTGAAGATAATGCTTTGGAGCATTTGAAGAGGTGTGGCCAGTGGTGTGCTATGACATGCAAATTGCATGTTTGATCAAGAAATTGGAAATTTTGTTTGCATATTTGGCACATGCATTTCAGATGAAGCTAAAAGCTCAATTCAAATTTGTAATTGGGAATTTGAGGGTTTTGTTTGGGGTGATCAGTGATCACCATCACCCCCTGTTTTGTTCTTCCTTTTAGATATAGAGTTTTGTTGCCTTCAACAAGAGGAGGCCTTAGTTACAATCACGCCTCAACTTTCTGTTAACAAAGAGCACTTCCCTTAACTTATTACCTTACCATTTCACTCCATAAAGTCCATAGGCACTTTGCTTATCCTTATTTACTCAGGGAGGAACCATCATTTAAATATGAAAACCACCAAAAAAGCAGAAATAGCTACAGTTGTTTCATTGTTTGTCTGCACCCTGTACTTATTGGTAGTCATTCAATTTTAGCAAAGCTCTCCACTTCATACTTCTCTAATGCACTAAGTGTTGTGTTGCCACTAACTCTATCCAGCCTTGCACTATGCATGTGCCTATGTATAAGTGTATGTGTGCCTTTATGGTGCTGCCACTAACTCTATCCAGCCTCTCACTATATATGTGCCAGTGTATATGTGAATAGGTGTGTCTTTATATGTATAAAATATGTGTGTGTGTACATATCTGTACAAATGGATATGTCGTGAGGGTGATGATCTTACTTTTGCTTCATCTATTTCCTCCTTGATCACTACCTTACTCTAACAATACTCTGCTGGACCATCTCTTCTAGAGAATCAGCCATTATATGAGTATATAATTTCAGTTTAATTTGTACTAACAAATGTGAAAATTTCCATCAACAGCATGTAAGTATGTAACCACCCCAGGTAACCCAGCCAAGTTGGTAACGCTGATGACTTGGTAACCGCAAGGTTACAATTTCAACTCCCAGCGGGAGTTGCCTATTGACCTTCTTGGTTTGAGCCGGTTAGCTATGGGCAACCTAGATTGGTTTATCTTCTTGTGGTCCTTTGCTGACTAAGGTCATAAGGCATAGTTTACCTAGTGCACACCATGGGATACTGACTACCGGTTTCTCTCATCATTCAAAAAACAAAGCATGTAACCACCCCTTCAGTCATTGCACACTAATTCAGTTAAGGAACTAAACAATATGGAGAAACGTTCTATCAACTAGATATATCAGTCAGCTCATGAGACAATGAATCAAATTAAGTTGATAAACCTTGCAAGCTGGCGTTGAAAGAGAAGAAAGTCCCAGTAATACATGGTCCCAAAACAAGCTGCCCCAGCACCAATTTCTTCAAGGTAGTTGCCACATCTCGTCTAGGCAATTTTCTCCCCAAAAGGTTAAACCAAGCATGTTGAACTGGTCCCAAAATAAGTAGCCCAAAGCTCGCCATGCGCAGCACCCTGATATTATCTAACGAGTCCGAAGGTGACATTGTAATCATCTGAGAGATTCGAACCACAAAAAGTCTCGGTTTCACATTTCTATGTATATTGCTGTGCACATCGAACAATCCCAAACGAATCGTAGATATATAACAGTGCGTCAACAGTAATCAAATCAGTGAATTAAATTCAAATGATGAAAAATACCTGGGAGGTGGAGTCGGCGGCAGCGTATATAAGACCAGAAGATATGCTCTTCGTGAGAATGGGACGCGAGTCCAGCATTCCCAAATACCACGCCAAAACCCCCTTCTTCGAATTCGAAGACGACGAGGACGAATACGATTTCCGGAGAAACGGGAAGAGGTGACAAAACGGAGCATTCGAAACCCTAGTTGTACTGAGCTGGTTGCTGTGAGATCGAGAGTAATAACATCGGCATTGTTGCAGAAACTGCGATTGAGCAGAGACGCCGGAAACGGGATAGGCGGAGGAGCGCCACCGGGAGTGTTGATCCGCGGCGGCGCGTTTTGCTAGGTTTTTGAGGGAGCTGATTCTCATTTCCCCACTGCAAATGTGAGTTGTTTTCCTTCCTAAAGATGAAATTCTCGTGGTTTGATTGAAGATTTTTTGGGGCGAAACAGATAATCCGTGACTGGAACAGTTAGGGAAGAGCTTGAAGAAGTGATTTCATGGCTCTCTGAAGTGGCGGGAGAGATATGTGGTTAGCTGTAAAACTTGAGTTAATTATACCTTTACCCCTTTAATCTTATGTTTCTTGGAAATGACCCCTTGAAACAAGGTAAATTAAATTGTAGACATAACTACATTTTTTAGTACAATGGAAGCATAAATTTTAGTATGTGGTTAAAAAAAAAAAAAAGAACCAAAGGCGAAATAGACATATTTCATGGAATGCTATTCCATTTCTCGTCTATTCCACAAATCAAACATCACTGCACGTCAAAGTCTAATAGATTTTAATCTAAAAAGTGCATTTAGTTCTTGAAGTTGATTTTGACGGGTTTAGCCTATTTGAATTACTAATTAAGAGTTAGTATGTAATATATTACAGTATGATATTATGAATAAGTTCAATTTTGTATGGTTTAATTTGTCATTTATTGGTCAAGTTTGTGAGTATAAATGTACATAGCTAATTTAGTATAATTAATAGTATGAATGTCTAAAACCATATTCAAATTTAAGATAAAGGCCTCCTATTTATGCTAGCTAGTACTTTCACAAAATATTAAGAGTTAATGGACAAAATTATTAGGCTAACATTATCAAGATGCCATCTTGTCACATGTGCAATAACAATATAGCTTTATTGTGAACTGACAATAACTATTGTTCACACCTCTCAGAAGGCGTATATATACTCATTTGGTGGAGTTTCAAGCCTTAGACTGTTTCATTATGTGGTTAATATAATATTGAATTGAGCGAATTGAGCTAGACCAATTACTAATATTTTGTTAATTTTTATTTTTCATTCCCATGTCTTAAAATAGAATTTGTCGTTTTCAAAACAACAACAACAACAACAATAATAATAATAATAATAAGCACAAGAATATAATGAAAGCAATTATTGATTTATTATATTTGTGTTTAATTTATTGCATCTTTGGGTATGGGAGTCCTTATTGATCACAATTGAGTTTGGAGAAATAAACTAATGAAGTAAATGGTATGGATAGTTATATGACATATGAGAAGCTTTGCTAGCAAGAGATGATTGCTAGAAAATTATTCTTATTTCCAAACCTCCACCACCAACATCACTACCAACCGTAGGTCAGTTACCTGGCCCATATCGGCCATAGCCACCACTACCACCATCACCATCACCGTCGTCTCCAGCAAACCCTCCACCGCCGCCGCCACCACCACCTCCTTCTCCACTGCTACCTTTCCCTCCCGAACCATACTCTCCACCGTCCCCAGCACCACCTCCCCCGCCTCCCCCTCCCCCACCTCCGCCGCCTCCACAGTTACCAGCCCAGCCACCGCAGCTACTGCCACCACCACCGCCACCGCCACCGCCGCCACCCCATCCACCACCGCTGCATCCTCCCCCATTACTGTACCCATACCCATATCCAGCTGACCCACCCCCTTGCCCAAACCCCCCACCAGAGCCCGAGACCGAGCCCGAGCTCGACCCACCTTTCCAACCTTTTCCATCCCCACTGGTAGCGAGCACAACATGAGCCACCGGAGCCGCCCTAACAGTTTTCTTGCCACGGTGGTCTCCGCCGCCTGCTACATCCTCCACCTTCATCTGAACCCCCCTTGTCCTTATCGCTTCAGTCGCCACGAAGCCCTGAATCACCAGACACACAACCACCACAAAAAAACCCACACTCCGGCGGCAATGCTCATAAACTCCTCCTCCCATCTTCTCCGGCCTCACCACCTCACAGATAGATACAACCACTTACACCAAATCTCACACCAAAAACCGATCAAAGGATGCCAAATTAAAGTCCCAATCTAGGAACAAGTATTAAATTAACTTATTAAGATTTAAGCTGCATGAACTAAACAATTAAGGTTTATGTTGTTGGCTGTTCTTAGCTCCACTGAGATATATAAATAGCTTATAAGTGAGACTGCATGCATGCATGCCGCCATGGCCATGGAGATTGCGTGATCGATCGATGAGGGTGGTGATGTGTGTGAGGAGGTTCAGGTGGTAAGAACAGTTTGCATGATGATAAGATAGATGGGTACAAATTTACAAATTAAAATTAGTGGGAAATAACAGAGAAAAAAGTAATTTTATATAATAAAAAAAAAAGTGTAAATTATAGGCAAGAGATGAATTAAGGGTTTGGCTTCAAGGCCTTTAGAACTTTGAAAAAAAATAAAAAATAAAAAAATCACTACTCTACAACCTAATGTCTTCAATCATCAAAAACGTCAAAACTCAAAAGCTTAGGATTTATGAGTTCACAAAATTAAGGTTTTCGACCTTTTTTGAAATCCACAAATTTGTTTGCGTGCTACTAATACCAATCATCTAAAAATATCATAGCACTCAGACCCGATTTAGTAAAATAATTAACATATGAGTCAATTTTAACTTATTTGATCACTATTAGATGTTTGACTTGCATGGTTAAATAATCAATAGGAGTGTTTGATTAATTAGTTTTTTATAATAGTTTATTGCTCTAAAATGCTAAAATTCAAAAAGCTTGTCAAAAACAGTTTTTTGAAAAAATCATTTTGTATGTAATCAGCTATCAACTAACAACTAATTTACCAAACACTTTTCCACAATCAGCTAATGCTATCGACTAGTCAAACACACTAACACAATCAGCTAACAACTATAACTATTGGTGGTTGCCAACAATTTTCAGCCCTTATTGGTGGTCAGATTTTTTCATTTAAAAAAAATATACATAACAACCATGATACAAGTATTTTTGTAGTTGGGTTTCTACAAGAAATCCTTTCTTTTTCTTTTTTTTTTTTTTAGAAATCTAAGTTTATGAGAAACAATATAATAGAAATGTAGATTTTCTAGGTAGTTAAGTGGTTTCTTATAACTAGAAATCCACTTTTCGACTATCACCAACCGCATGTTGTTAGAAGAGTTGAAAAAAAAAAATTATCTACTTTTTAAGTGATGGGATGATAATGGTCTTGTTAATTAGTACAGTTGTTTTGTACGTTATATAGTACTGCTGTATATATATTTGATTGACACTACATGAATTATTAGATTCCTAACTACTTAATTGAAAGATCCAGTAATGAGGAGATATAATAATAATAATAATAATAATAATAATAATAATAATGATGATGATAATAATAATTATAATTATATTATTATTATTATTACTATTATTATTATTATTATTATTATTATTATTATTATTAATGTTGAGGGGATGCTTGACAAGGTGTACGTACAATATTCTACTATTAAAATGTATAAAAAAATATAAATATACAAAGAAAATAAAATTCTATTTTTTTATTACTAGTTATAATTTTTAATGTAACAATAAGTTGCAGGTCTATCATAAATAACATACGTAATTAACCTAATGGAAAGAGTAATGATATACTCCGTAATATATATAATCGCAAAGTACGTAGCAACGACTTTTAATGTTATCGACAAAATGTAGGAGCTGTCTACTTTAGCAGGGAGGGTCATGTTATATAGATTAGACATGATATATAGTTGGATAGCCATGCAAGAAACAATAATATAATATAATTAATGACCGAATCTGACAGTATTATATTATTCTGATTAATTAATAATACATTCATTATACATAATGTCTTAATTACAATTACTCACAAAATGAAAATAACTAATCATTTATTATCACATCAAAAAATAAAAGTAAGAGAGTATAACTCGATTCATTTCAGTAATTCACCTGGTGTCAATTTTTCAGACTCACAATAGTATCTAGCACATAACCAACACTAAATGTCAGATTTTCTTTCATATGTATGTATGTGTGTGGGGCAAAGGTATATATATATATATATATATATATATATATATATATATATAGTGTGGAAAAAATCGCTAGGCGCCTAGGAGGCTGACTACCTAGCGCCGCCTAAACGTGATGTTTGTAACACTGTGTGTGTGTGTATATATATATATATATATATATATATATATATATATATATATATATATATATATATAGAGAGAGAGAGAGAGGGGGACGCACTCAGGTGCGAATAAGTGCCCAGGAAGGAAATGCGAACGAATCAGCGCGTGACACGTGTCCGGATCTAATAAATTAAAAAAAACGCGGTGGCATTTTCGTAAATAATTGAACATCGAAGTGCAAGTAAAATCTCTTATAAGTGCATGTAATTTTGCCTTGTTAGCATTCACTTTTCGCAACCATTCATGCACCTGGGTGTGCTTATAACTATATGTGCAACTATTTATAACTATAGGTGCAACTACTTATAACTATATGTGAACCTACTTTCACCTATAAGTGCATGCAATTTTGTCTTGTTAACATTCATTGATCTGAGTTCAGCAGGTAGTAATACTCCTGAAAACCACTCGCAAACATTCATACACCTAGATGCAACTACTTATACCTATGTGTGCAACTACTTAGAACTATAGGTGCAACTACTTAGAACTATAAGTGCAACTAAGTATTGATGCTCAGTGTAAATTTTTACTTGCACCTATAATACATTTTACATGCACTTGTAATACATTTTACTTGCACTTCGATGTTCAATTATTTACGAAAATGCCACCGCGTTTTTTTAAAAAATCAGTGTTTCTCATCCATTAGATCTGGACACGTGGACGAACAGAATCCATTCCTATTTCGCGCCTGGACGATCCGTTCGCACCCGAGTGCAACTCTCTCTCTCTCTCTCTCTCTCTCTCTCTATATATATATATATATATATATATATATATATATATATATATATATATATATATATATATATATATATATATATATATATATAGACTTATTAATTATCCTTGCATTCAGACGGATATACATCAAACTTGTGCATCACATCTAGTCAACTAGTGTTGGGTTATCAGCCCACCTTCAAAGTCTCATCATCTATCTAATCTTAGTCAATCTGCACATAACACATTACCATACACCAATAATAATAACAAGACAAGTGCTAACAAGATACTTAGAGTGTGATGTTATACTATAAATTTGATATTTTGAGAGTGGTTGTTAGTTTGTTATATTCATAGCGGTTTTAAATTTAAAAATAAATTTCTTAAAATATTTATACATCTTTAAACAAAATATTTATAAATACACACTTTTTTTTTTCAAAAAATAAAATACAATTATTTCTACACTTTCCTCACGTTTCATATATATCAAGAAGGCCTCTGACTAAATCGAATAGGGTTGCCCCACAAATATTATATATATACCGATCGAAATATACCACACAAGTATTTATCTTCTTCGTTCATTTTATATCGTTGTGTTCTTCTTCCATTATTTAATTAAAGAAATATGATTGAAAATGGGGTGTTATAATTTGTGTTAGGGTTTTTGAATTCATTAATAACTAATAAATGTAAAAAAATTATGGTTTAGTGGCACGAAGTAGCTCTCCCAAATAGAAAGTTTTGAGTTCAAGTCACAATGAGGGCAGTATTGACTTTTTGTGCTTAATTATATTGAGTATTGACTTTTTGTGCTTAATTATGTTGAGAAAGTAGTTATAAATAGATATTAACAAAGTCAGTAGTACTCAAAAAGAAAAATGGGTATTAATATATTAAAATAAATAGTATCCGCTTAATATTAAGATGAGTAAATACCTAAAATGGTCCCTCGACTATAGCTAAATTCACAAATTGATCCTCGACTTTCAATTTCAACCAATTAAGTCCTTAACTTTGTAATTTTGACACGATTTGGTCCTCCATCTATTTGACCGTTTGTTAACCGTGATCGACGATCTCCAGAAGAACCTTCAGCTCTCGTCGGAGCACGTGGAGGCCTCCAAGATGACGTTGCACTGGTTCGGAAACACGTCGTCTTCTTCGCTCTAGTACGAACTCAACTACATTGAATCCAAAGGGAGGATGAAGAAAGGCGACCGGATTTGATAGATTGCTTTCGGCAGTGGATTCAAATGTAACAGTGTGGTCTGGAAATGCAACCAGAACCTTAAAAAAATCGACGATGGACCATGAAATTACATATATATCTTCAAAAATCACAGTCAACAAACGGTCAAATAGACAGATGACCAAATTGTGTTAAAATTACAAAGTTAAGGACTTAATTGGTTGAAATTGAAAGTTGATGACCAATTTGTGAATTTAACTATAGTCGAGGGACCATTTTGGGTTTTTACTCTATTAAGATTGACTTAGATTACATTTTTTTTTGGGTCACATCACTCCTACTAATTAAAATCACTCTCTGAGGGCTATTATTGTATTGATATGTTTTTTGTATTTTATTATTGCATAAACTTTTCATTAATTAGCAGTTTAACTGACTAATTTACAAACAATTTTTCTTTTCGCTTAATTGTTATAAATAATTTAACGTCTACAATAAACATTGAAAGGTGACACTTTTTTATAACATTGCCTCTTTGCCCAATCCGAATCAGTTGTCTTCCCTCATTTACTATGAGTAGGTATGCTGTGCATCCATATGCACCATACGGATACAAAAACGACGTCGTTTTATTAAAAACACGCGTCTTCCCTTAAAAAAAAATTCAGGTTCGATTCTCAGCAACAACATTATGTTGTTCATTCATTCTGGAATGTTAGTTCATAGATTATGGAATTTTAGTTCATTGATTTTGGAATTATAGTTCATCGATTCTAGAATTGTAGTTCATCGATTCTGAAATTTTAGTTCATATATTCTGGAATTTTAGTTCATTCATTTTGAAATTTTTAGTTCGTAGATTAGATTCTGGAATTATAGTTCATAGATTCTGGAATTATAGTTCATCGATTCTGAAATTTTAGTTCATATGTTGTTGCCGGAAATTGAACTTGATTTTTTTTTAAGGGGAGACGCACGTTTTTGCATCCGTATGCACCATGTATGGTGCATACTGATGCACAACATAATTTGCCATTTACTATCATTCTAGGTGTAATATCTTAATTTGCAATGTGAACGACCAATTTACTTAGTCAATGAAAATACACAATTTTGCTAGACTAAATATAAATTCGGCCCGACTGCCCTAGCTAAATCATTGGGGTCTCAATTAATGGTTTTTCCTCATTTCACTATCATTCTAGATAACAATTTTAATACATCATATGGTCAACCAATTTACATACAATCAAAATATACAATTACCCCCACCTTTGTCAATCATTATTGTATGAACCATGATCCACACAGTTGTGTAGGCCATATTATATAAAATAATGTATTTTTAGTATATTAAAAATGTACATTGTACTCAATAAAAGTACATTATTTGAGTACTAAAAGTACATTATTTTATATAATGTACATTTAATACACAAATAATATATTTTTTATTATGATCTACATAATACTATGTAGGCCATAATTCACACAATAATTTGTCCACCTTTGTTAAACTAAACATGAATGTGGCTCATATCACCCGTCCCAAACTCCCAATTTTACTTAATAAAAGTAAACAAAATTTCTCCATCTCTACCAAATTAACCTAAATTCGGCATAAGTCATGCCCATAGAATTTGACTTTTCAGTCTTCTTCCAAAAGGTTGAAGACCAACCCTAAGGGCCCCCGCACAGTCCGACCCCCGACAAAGCGTTTAGAAGTATGTAAATCAACTGAGCATGAAGCACAGAGGCTAGACATTTGCTCACCGCGTACAAGGAACCCCCCTCAGTTTGAGAGGGAGCTAAGACTCGATCCCTGGTCATTCTTCCAAAGTTTCACCTCTATAACCAGTTGAACTGCCCATGCGGGTGACTTTTCAGTCTTCGTAATTACATTAACAGTTCACTTACCAACTGTCCAAATAATTATTATTTTTCTTTAAAAAAAATGGCTTTTTTTTTTCGGGATAGCATTGCCACTTCCAATCAGTGGTCTTCCCTCACTTCACTATCATCCTAGCTTAAACACAGTCAGAACCATGGTTTGCATTGCAAAGGATGTGGGTTCTATACGCAACCTAAAAGCCAAGCCAGAATGTAGTAATAAATACAGTTTTATGACAATTGGATTCAACTAAGATAGCGATAACGCTAATAATTCAAAGACCCAACGTGGGGGGTGGGTCACGAGCTTTTCATTACAGGCCACACAAGAAGGCCTTTCCAGACAAGGAAATCTCAGATCGAAGAACAGAGCGTCGGAAACCTCAGCCACTAGGATGAACACAGCCGGCAAGGTTTCAAGATCCCTTTCAGCAGCCCCACAGTTTTGTTTGATTATGGAATTATGATTGAAAATGATATGGTGTTTAAGGGTCGAAAACGACGGCGCCTGGGGTCCAAGGATCGCACTGTTTTCAAACATTAATTGCATGTCCTCAAGCAACTCCCCCAACTGTTTATCTGCATTATTGTTGCAGACAATCAGTCGTTTATTAATTGTCGACGATGGACAAGATGCTAGACAGAGAGAAGGGAGGAAGAGGGTTTGTGTAATACAAAACCAAAAAATTAAGGCAATTGATCGTAAGAGTGGTGATGAGGTGAGTAGACAATGCAGTGAAGAAATCGATGAAGTGAGGAAAGATGAGTGAGGAGGCGACGAGAAGAGTGATAAGGCTGAATTATCAATTACGTAATGGGTTTTGTAATTATAGGGGTAATCAAATCCTATACCTGTGTTTTAAAAAATTGTCAACCAATCAATGTGTATGACTTTCATTCTCATTCCTTGTCTCTAAACTCATGAACCAAGCACACTCATAATCTTTTTAGTGTGGTTTACCTCTTATGCGTGGTTCGCAGGCTACACGGAGTGGAGTTTACCCATCTCAATGAACAATTAGGGAAAGACATGGGTTTAGACATTCAAACGGGCAACCGAGTAAATAGGCCATGAGCTGGTAAGATTGGAAATCTTGATGGACAACTGAGTGAATTATATAGGCTCTCGATCCAGCCCATCCCACATAATCTTTCTAGTGTGGTTTACAGGCTACACAGAAGTGAAGTTCACCGATCTCGATGAACAATTAGGGAAAGACATGGGTTTAGACATCCAAACGGACAACCGAGTAAATAGGCCATGAGCCAGTAAGATTGGAAATCTTGATGGACAACTGAGTGAATTAAATAGGCTCTCAATCCAGCCCATCCCACATAATCTTTCTAGTGTGGTTTACAGGCTACACAGAACTGAAGTTCACCGATCTCGATGAACAATTAGGAAAAGACACAGGTTTAGACATCCAAACGGAGAACGGTAAATAGGCCATGAGCCGGTAAGATTGGATATCTTGATGGACAACTGAGTGAATTAAATAGGCCAGGGGCTAGACGATGTGGACATCCATATGGATAATCGGGTAAAGACTAAAGACACAGGCATTGGGGCTGGCTGGACATTTGGACAAAAACAACCAGGTAAATAGGCCACAAGATGTTAAGATTGGCTATCTACAACAGGCCAATGGACCAGACCAGACCTATCTAATACCATGTTAGAATTCAATAACATGTATTAATAGATTCCAAACATATTTAAGAGAGTCAAGTCGAACATAGTAAAAATACAAGGGAGTGATGTCTTACATAGGCATTGCATTATTCCACATCAATTCATTCCTGTCAAGGCAATAAATAAAAGTGATTCATTTGTTGCATAGTCAATTCAAAATCAAGAACGGCTGCTAATTAATCAGGGAGATAATGGTTGTATTAGTCATATTCAAACACACCCAGAATGAAAGCTCCCCCTTTTCCCATCCCTTCCACCAGCAATTATGGGTGGTAGGGTCACTCCAGCTAATTGCCTCAACAGGCACTTCTAAAGTGGGATGTAAGATACTGTATCATAATTGGCTAATACAGCTAGCAATTAGGCGAATAGAATTAAAAGAACATACCTTTAATAGTATAATCTTGAAAGCGACAAAATTAACATGAAATTCAGAGTCACTTTTGAGCACCCAGTTTCCTGGTGTTGCAGAATATCATAATCTTTTTCACTTTTCGGCACGCTCAGTGGAGAATTTCTTAGTAAAAATCATGTACGGACTATTTTCCTTATCCTGATGGAGCTGATGATGCTTGTTTCATGGTAAAATGACAGTTAGCCAATGGAGAGCCATTCAGCAAAAGCAGAAGGTGCCTCTTCCATTTCCAGGAAAAAGAAAAAGTACTTTAGAAATAAGCGTTGGAGAACAATTGAAAAATAAAGATGACACTTAATACTTACTTTTCATTCACCGGTCGTTATAAATTGCTCATCCTATTAAAACTTATCAAGTACGGAATATGTAATTAGACATAATATGCTTGAGATAATAGTTTCTTTATGAGCAAAAATACTTACCTGGACAGGAAATGATGCACCAATAATGCAAGGTTTCCAATTGTAGTCAGGGTTGGGGCGGAGCCATTTTCTGCTTAAAAGTAACAAAATGTGAAAACCATGAACACATTTGATGGTCACAGCATTCTTATCCTCATGTCAATAAAAAATTAATTAATTAATTAATTAATTAAAAAAAGAAATCTGTGTTCCACAATCAATTTTGTCATCAAGTGGGTACAAATAATTCTAAGAATCTTGAGGCCTAGAGTATTAGGGAGTACCTACACAGTCACTAGGTAAATATTAAATAAGTATCATAACGGAGAATAAAGTGTATCACAGTGAAGAACAAGTTATGATACGACGCATTGTAGTAAAGCTTAATCAATGATCATCTTTATTGCAACAATAATTGTTCTTTATTATAATACCACTTGTTAACCAGTGCAATGCAATATGAGCTCATATCATATGGGGACAATTTGGGTAGGACACAGACACAGTAGACTTTCCCGAACTCAATATATTAGCCATACCTGTGCTCCACAATCAACACATTCTCACAAATTAGCCACTTTCTCCTTTATGGGTCCATTCTTCCATTAAAGTCCTCCTTAGGATCTCAAAAGCAGTGCTCACAAAAATCTGTTTCCTCCCTGGTTTTTCTGATTCAAAGACCATAGGAAGATGATGATGCAAAGATTGAGGCTTAGGCTTCTTCCAATATTAGTGCTTCTAATATTCCTTCATGCATGTGTGGATGGAGAAGTGCAAAACCAGAAGAAGACTTATATCATTCACATGGACAAGTCCAACATGCCAGCTGGCTTTTATGATCATCTCCAGTGGTATGACTCATCCTTAAAGTCAGTATCAGATACTGACATGCTGTACTCCTACAGCCACGTTATCCATGGCTACTCAGCACGGCTAACTGCGGATGAAGCCAAAGCACTTGAAAAGCAGACAGGAATTCTTTCTGTCCAGGAGGAAGTGAAGTATGAGCTTCATACTACACGGACACCGAAATTTCTTGGACTTGATGGGAGTGACAGTAAAGCATTCTTTCTTCAGAATAACATAAAAAGTGATGTCATTATTGGTGTTCTGGACACTGGTGTTTGGCCTGAATCAAAAAGTTTTTATGACACCGGACTTGGTCCAGTTCCCAGTAGTTGGAAGGGTGCGTGTGAGGTAGGCAATAACTTCAACTCATCAAACTGTAACCGAAAACTCATTGGAGCAAGGTTTTTCTTGAGTGGGTACGAAGCAGCAAACGGACCAATTGATGAGGCCGTTGAATCCAGGTCACCAAGGGATGATGACGGCCATGGTACACATACAGCATCTACAGCAGCTGGATCAACTGTTACTGGAGCAAGCTTCTTCGGTTTTGGTGCTGGCACAGCACGTGGAATGGCACCCCAAGCAAGAGTTGCTGCATACAAAGTGTGCTGGGAGGGAGGGTGTTTTAGTAGTGACATACTAGCTGCTATGGAGAAGGCCATAGAAGATGGTGTGAATATAATATCGATGTCACTTGGTGGTTCCGTTGCTGAGTACTACAGTGACCCGATAGCAATTGGAGCATTTGCAGCAACAAGTCGAGGAATCTTTGTCTCTTGCTCAGCCGGAAATAGCGGGCCATTTCCAGAGAGCCTCTCCAATCCTGCACCATGGATAGCAACCGTAGGTGCAGGAACAATTGACCGTAAATTCCCAGGATATATCAGCATAGGGAATGGGAAGAAATTTGATGGTGTATCACTTTACAGTGGAAAACCCTTATCTAGTTCCCCAATACCTCTAGTGTATGCAGGTAATGCCAGTACATCAGATGGCAGATTATGCACACCTGGCAGTCTGATTCCTGAAAAAGTAGCTGGAAAAATTGTGGTATGTGACAGAGGTGAGAACAGAAGAGCAGAAAAGGGTTTAGTTGTAAGAGAAGCTGGTGGCATAGGGATGATTCTAGCAAACACTGACCTCAACGAAGATGACCAGATTGCTGATGCCCATCTTATCCCTACAGCAGCTGTTGGTCAGACTGCAGGTGATATGATAAAGGAGTACATATCTTCCACCCGCAATCCAACAGCCACAATTGCATTTGGAGAAACCAAGTTGGGAGTCCAACCCTCACCTGTTGTAGCAGCATTCAGCTCCAGAGGGCCAAACACAATCACGCCAGAAATACTCAAACCTGATTTTATAGCACCTGGTGTTAACATCCTCGCTAGTTGGACAAGGAGAATTGGACCAACTGGGATGGCAGAAGACAAGAGGCATGTTGACTTCAATATTGTTTCTGGGACTTCTATGTCATGCCCACATGTAAGTGGGTTGGCAGCACTACTCAAAACAGCCCATCCAGAATGGAGCCCTGCAGCTATAAAATCAGCACTTCTGACAACGGCCTATAGCACATATAAGAACAGGCAAACCATTGAAGATGCAGCAACTAGTATGCCATCAACACCATTTGATCATGGTGCTGGACACGTGAACCCGGTATCAGCACTTGATCCAGGTCTTGTTTATGATGCAACAGTTGATGATTACATAAACTTCCTCTGTGCCATAGGCTACAGTGCAAGTCTGATCAAGACTGTCACAAAAAGAGACATATCTTGTGGTACAAATAAGGAATACAGAGTGGCTGATTTTAATTACCCATCTTTTGCTGTTCCTCTGGAGACGGCTTGGGGTGAAGCTGGAGATAATGAAGAAACAACAGTGATCAAGTACACAAGGACTCTCACAAATGTGGGCAACCCAGCTACATACAAGGCCTCAGTCTCTTTTCAGACCAAGTCTATGAAGATCATAGTTGAGCCCCAAACTTTAAGTTTTAGTAGACTAAATGAGAAGAAGAGCTACACAGTGACATTTATTGCTAGTTCAATGCCATCAGGCACAACTAGCTTTGCTCATCTGGAATGGTCGGATGGAAAACATAATGTCCGTAGCCCGATTGCTTTCAGCTGGACATGATTCTCCTGGATCTATATCGTCATGGGAGTTATCCAAGTGCACATAGTTCCTTAATGAATAAGAATAATATGGAGTAATGTAATAGTTATGTGTTTAGTTATCTAATCTGCCTACAGTGCAACCAGACCTGACTATATTATCAAGAAACTCTTGTATAAAAAGCATGTGTTGATTGTATGGTAGGTGGCAACAACTTAATAGAACTTAATAGTTTCTCTGTTTTTACTTATATTTAAGTTATTTGTCTAAAAACTTTGCATTACATGTAGCTTCCAGCTGATTTCACATGGAGAGAGTGCTCTTTATTAGCGATAGTTAAAAACTAGAATTCAGCATCTGTCTATAAATACTTAAACTAAACCTTTTACACCTGAATTTAAATATTATTATTGAAAAATCAATTTGTTTAGGTGATGGAATATTCCAGCCAACTTTTAAACATGTTGATCAGAACTACTGCTATTCTTTTTAACAGCTTATGTATATTATTCCTTAAAAGTAATTAAACTGCATTAACAATTAATAAATACACCATGATGATGCCATCCTCCCCTTTCAATTTTCCTTATACATAACAAGATGCTGCAAGCCATGAGATTTTGTAACAAACAGTATAAACAAGTAAAACAACAACAACAAGAGACAATCCACCAGTTACAAAATTCTAAATATCATTGCTGAAAATTAGTACACATGGAATAACTATGAATTTAACAAAATATCAAGAGATGCGCATCTCCTGCTGTTACGTTTTGTGAACGAGAATGATCTTTACTTGAAAATAACTATATTAAAAAACAAATAGAAGCCTGGAATACAAAGCTCCCCCTATGTATGGGGTCCACAAAATGGTCTATTGTTATCACTAAAAAACAAGTAAATAAAATCAGTCAGATTCATTTGTAGACTGACAAACAGGGAGATAATATGTATCCAACTCCCAGTACTTGTGTTTAACACCTTCCCAGATTTCTTTGCTTAAGCAATCCTTCACCGGTAGAGGTATCAACTGTGTAGAATAACCCGTGCTGGCAAGTTCCAGGGAAACTAATTGACAGTAAACAACATGGAAGAAAGGGTTACCTCCGCAGAGGCCATTAAAGAATGAATAGATACCACCAGGATTCAATAATTTAGGAAGATATTGGTGAAACTCTCGCATATCTTCATAATATTCCCCATATGTATCGAAGAATATACCTAACAAATTGAAAAAATAAATCCAAGAATTATTTATTTGGTAGAAGGCTAGTTGTTAAAACTTCACATCAAATGACAGTTCCGCATACAATCAAAAAGGCCAAGTTTAGACATCTCCAACTAATTTTACAAGCTTGAAGGCTGAATTGTGCTTCATCAGAAATCACAATTCAATGGCCATTTCCCATTGAAGTTTCATCAATTCTTTACTTAAGGCACGTGTTTTAACTCAGTTGGATCCAAAACCAATTATAACTACAATGAGTTGACCATAGTAGGTTATATATGATTTCACTTTGTTAAGTTTTTAGGGGAAAGGCTTAGTAGGGGGGTTACCATCATAAGATTCAAGTTGTGAAACAACGTCCTGCCAACGACCAAAAATGATCTTCACATTATCCTTCTTGTCCCATCCTTGACGTATCATGCGATCATAAACCTCAGGATGAGCTTCAATAATAGTATGTGAAGCAGGTGCATATTGCTGTATGGCAGTATCCACGAGCCCCATTCCAAATCCAACGTTCAAAACATGGCCGCCATTTGAGCAAACTGCCTTTGCATGAGCCTCCATCAATGGTTTCTCCCAAGCCATCATAACAGCCTTGCTTTCTGCATCCATAATCTTATCCTCACTGAAACTAACTCTATCTTCCAAGTAATCATCAGAGTTCTTGTTCGCATTTCCCTTCCTTGCAATTGTGCCAAGTATCAATTCTGCTTGTAATGCTATACATACAAACCAGAAGGTTCAGGGATAAACTCTTGAGAACTAACATAAAGTACATAAATAATGGCAAACATATTGAAAGTACCAACCATCACATAAGGGGATGTACGAAGCAACTTCAATCAATTATATTATTATCACCCCCAAAGAAATATTAGAGTTGTTCCAGATTGCTAATTTCCCAAATTACTATAGTACTAGTCTTTCAACGGCTGCAGAAGTCTAGTGTGATCACTTCAGCTGAGATATTACCATTTTATACTTAATACATGTAAAAAACTTTCAATTTCATAAATTTAACTTTTATGCACTGGAAAAACTCATTGATGTAAGTTGGATTTGCACTTTAACAATGAAAATGGTAAGGAGTATGAAGTTTTAACCTGCATTGAGGAGGGCGTCGAAGGCTTCTTGGTGGCCAGCCTCCATGGCGAAGTCGCCGGCAGAGTGATTGGAAGGAGAGAGAGCATTCCAGGGAGCGCCGGCGTCGATGAGGTCCTTGACCACCTCCGCGTGGCCGTGCTTGGCCGCGTGCATCAGTGGATTCAGGCCGTCGCTATCGAAATATGAGACGTCGGCTCCGGACTCTATCAATGATTTCACTTTGTCCGAGTCGCCGTTCCGAGCTGCCTCGCACAGCGCTTCTTCGTCGGTCATGGCTGCGCCGGTTAGAGACTTGATGAAGTAGAACCAGGCTTAAATCTATATACCAGATAGGGTTTTAGTTTTGTATTTATTTATTTATTAAGATTAATAGTTTATAGTTTTTTATTTGTAATACTATTGACTCTATTACGTGTTATCTGTTATTTATCTATTGCAGTTTAAATAGTCAAGAATACAAGATCCACCAGGGCTCGATCTGGTGACCTTCCCTTAATGGAGGGACAGATGTGTCATCTGAGCACAAGGCATTTGGTAGTTTATTGTTTACTACTAGAAATATTTTGTGATTAAAAATACTTTCTAACTTGATAATTAAAGACGAAAATGCTTTGATTTACTGGACAATTAGAGTAGTTATGATGTCCATCCGTATGCACCATGCATGATGCATACGGATGCAAAAACGACGTCGTTTTATTAAAAACGCGCGTCTCCCCTTTAAAAAAAAATTAGGTTCGATTCCCAGCAACAGCATTATGTTGTTCATTCATTCTGGAATTTTAGTTCATGGATTATGGAATTTTAGTTTATGGATTATGGAATTTTAGTTCATTGATTCTGGAATTATAGTTCATCGATTCTGGAATTGTAGTTCATCGATTCTAAAATTTTAGTTCATAGATTCTGGAATTTTAGTTCATTCATTCTGAAATTTTTAGTTCATAGATTAGATTCTGGAATTTTAGTTCATCGATTATGGAATTATAGTTCATCGATTCTGGATTTTTAGTTCATATGTTGTTCTTGGGAATCGAACTTGATTTTTTTTTAAGGGGAGACGCGCATTTTTAATAAAACGACGTTGTTTTTGCATCCGTATGCACCATGCATGGTGCATACGGATGCACAGCATAATTTGCCGGACAATTAGGGTCGGTTTGGTTCGCACATAGTAATCGGAATCGGATTGTGAATCAAATACGTAGTAATGATAATGAGTTTTAGTGAAAGTATTATGTATGTTTGGTAATTGGCAGTATGATGAGTTGAGAATAAGTATCAATATTGATGATTATTTGTGTATGAGCTTATAATAGTAATAAATGTTTTTGATGGATTATATTGACCTGGGGTTCGAATCAATTAACCCGATTAAATTAAGGATTATGACAAATAAGGATAATGGTATAAAGACAATGATAACTGTGATGGTAATAAAAGGACAAAATTGATAAGTCACGGGGACAATATTGTATTGATCCAGTGTAATGTCATTACAAGAAAAAATTTATGCAATAACAAGAAAGTAGTGGATAATGAATGAATTATGTCTTAACAAGACACGATGGAGTGCTTTTATACTCTAAATCGACCCCAACTACCTCGAAAAAAATAGTGGGAGTTACAACCTCCTTGGACTGCAACAAACACCGCCAAAACCGCGTCCACGCGAAGACTCGACACCCGCCCAAGCACGGAGCTCAGCCGAGTGTCGAGCTCAACCCAAGTGCCGACCCCGTAGCCGAGGAAGCCGACCTTATGGCCAAGCGCGGGGCTTGGATATGCCCAAGTCCGTCAGGTCTAGGTCCGGGTTACCTCCGGAACTTCGAACTTGGTTCGCTTTATGTTGTCCCGTTCCGAATTCATTTGTAATTATTCCATCAATTTTAGAATACAAAAACAAAAAGTCAAGTGAATTGATCCTAATAAAATGAAATTCAAAGCATCAATATGAACAAAAAAATTAAAACAAAAATCTAAAAAGTAATAATCAACTAAGGCTCAAACTCACAACCTCACAATAGAATAGCAACTTAGTGCTAATAGACCACATGGTCCTTGACATCTCTTCTATTTGAATATGCGTTAAAAATAAATACCTATTGTGATCATAATAATAATTGATTGATTAGTTAAAAAATTAATTAGTCTAGTGATACCAAGCTCTTCTTCCATATAGGAGTTTGTAGATTTGAGCCTCAATATTAATACTGCATTGTAATAGAGTCAGTTATATAATTAAATTCAATATAGAAATGATTACTATTAATTATAAATTTATTCCAATAATTGAAGGACAAAAATATAATTCTCCGAAATTAGAAATTATTTGCTAGAAATCCCCTCCATGGTCAACATCAGTCAATAGCACGGTCATTTTGACTGTACCCCCAAAAATTCGTACGTTAACGCAAATTTCTTCGGGTTTTGCTTACCATATATATATAACCGAAATCGAACATGGAAAGAAAAAAAAAAAAAAAAAAGGAAAAGGAAAATTAGTTCTCTGAATCCAAAAGAACGCATAAAATCTCCAATTTTCGTATTTCGCTCGCGCATTTGAATTCGAAAGACTGTTGTTCATCCTTAATTTCGGCTTGTTCTTTCCCATTTCGACGTAATCTGTGAATTTTTCTGGACAGAACTATTGGTTTTCGGTGCTGAATCCTTTGGTGTAAATTGGGAAACAAAAATCTCGAATTCGAGGATAAATGGCGACACATTTTGAACGGTGGGAGAAAGATCCTTTCTTTCCTGCCGCCGAAGAGGTTCAGCAATCCGCCGACAGGTAACATTTTCTGCAAATTTTGTTTTTTCCGGTTGTTTCCCTTTCCGCTGCGTTTTGCTTTATTTGCAGTATTCATCAAAATGTATATTCTCCAGTTTTGTATGGGTTTGATGGATTTATGCGGATAGGCCTTTGTAATATATAATAATAATTTATTTTCTTTTGCTTTTATAATGAAGGATGGAATCCACTTATAGAAAATGGGTTATTTCCAAGAAGGAGAAATCCACCATTTGGAACTCTGATGATATTCGTCGAGATTTACGGACTGCTCTTGGCACTGCTAAATGGCAGGTAAAGTATTCAAATGATTCCTATTTACAGAAACTATAACCCTAGCCTCCAAAGTACCACAAGGAGGTAAATAGGCTACTACCCATAGCTGATAGGTTCAAACCTAGAAGACCAATAGGTTATAGGTCACACTTGCTGGGAGTCAAACTTGTAAGCGTTTGGTTACCAAATCAATTGTTTGACCAATTTGGTTGGTGCCTAGTTTACCCATAGTTGACTGATTTAAACCAAGAAGGCCAATAGCTAGAGAGAAGGCCAATAGACCGCTTGGGAGTGGGAGTCGAAATTGTGAGTTTGTGGTTACCAAGTCAACCGTCTTACCAACTTGGTTGGGGTTACTTCTGGTATTATCAATTCTTGTTTCTATAAGCATTGTAGCCTTTCCCTTAATATGTATAGCTGCCTATGCATGGGTGAAATGTGGATTATTAATGTAATGCAGTTGGATGACTTTGAGAGGGCTGTTAATTCAAGCTACACTAATAATAATCCAGCGGATTCTGCAAAAGATAGGCATCGTGAGTTTGCTGTTGCTATTAACAGTCAGATTAAGAAAGTTGAGGGATCTTTAAATGAACCAGCCGTTTCTCAGGGCAAGCCGCCATTGCCATGGGTCTTGTTAGACGAGAGAGAGTGCAATGAGCTTGCAGTGTTCCTATCAGGACCATCCACATCGTCTGCTGTTCGAAGAGTTCCTGGTAAAGAGCAGCAGACAGTGAGTTGTGAGGTAGCTGATAGAGAGTTGATGCCCGAGTGTTCGAATATGTCCAATTCTCTAGAGCAGGGTCGAGTGGAGGCTAAGGAGGAGAAGTGTTCAGGGCACCGTAGGACGGCTAGTGCCAATGCTGACATGGGTACATTGAAGATTGCAGTCGCGACTGATGTCCCCAATAGACGACCTGAATCTCCCATGCGAAAGATTCCTAGCTTTTCAGGATTTTTGAATGGCATGGAGTTTGCAAACCACTTGAAGTTCTCAAGGAATGGTTACAGAAAGTTGAAGGCCTCTGATCACAACAAAGTAGGCTGTGCTTCATTCCCGCATATTCAGCAGTTGAGTAGGGTGAATATTTTCTTCTTGCAGATGTTTAGTCATTCCTGGATGGCTACCGATATGGTTAGGAATTTTCCTTTTGAATTCAACTGTATTGTACTATTGTGATATAATCTGCTCTTTTCTGTGAAGGACATTACCAAATGCCATGAAAAGAGTAAGAGTTGCACCGATGGCTCTGATAAATGTTATGGCAAGCGACTGTATGGTCTGTACGGAGCCATTCAAAGACAGCTTCAGAGGTCTCAATATTACATGCAATATAGTCGCTCCGTTCGAGTTGTTTTCTCAGCCATTGTCCTCCTTTGTTTGATTGGTAAGTCGGTTGCAACCTTCGATAATAGATATTCCTTCATGACTTCATTCATGATGACATATTACATTCATCTTGCCCCTAGGGACATAGCTCAGTGGTCGAAAGGTTGAGTGTGGGTGTAGTGACCCAGCAAATACTCGGGTTCGAGTCCTCAATGCGGGAGGATCTCAGTATTGGGGCAAAAAACAAGCACTCAGGTTTACCTCCTTTCACAATCCCCAGGGCACGGGGTGAGGGCCCTCAGGTTTAGGGTTTAAACCAATATCGCATTCATCCTTGGGCATTTTTCACGGTTTCATAGAATGTCAGAGCTTGTTTCAGTTAGCATTTCACTTGAAAGTGTAAACAATGTATGTCCCTGGGTTTAGACCCCAAGGCCTCCACCTGCCATTGCCCTAAAACTTTGGTGGCAAATCCCGCTCCCCTTGGTAGGATTTGAACTTGCACAGCTGCCAATTAAACAATCCGTTAACTTTACTCTGGGTTGATTTGGTTAACCACAATGTTGAAAAAATCGCTAGGCGCCTGGGGACCGCCTAGAGCGCGATTTTTGCAACACTGGTTAACCAATTGAAGTACTGAACTATGTCCGGGGGCAACATTGTTTGTGCTCGGGTTTTCTTCTGCATTTTGGTACTTATATTATTTCATCGCTTTCTGCAGTTTTAGTGGTGCTGCAGACCATGCGAGGAGCAACGAGTCCTCTGCTACAATAGACAGCGGTGTGTCAAAAAGGCTGATTCAAGTGTAGGTGTAGTTTGATCTCGGAATTTGATGCCAGTGTTTGGTATTGCACCAAAATTGGTGCAGAGAAACCTTATCATCATTAGCAACTAACGTTATTGTTCTTGTTGGTTGCCCAGTCTTGTTGTCATTGTATGTCTCCTGTGGATGACAGGTGACCTCAGCCATACTTGCATCCCACAGAATGAAAGAATTAGGCTTTTGCCACTGGTTTTTGTGTAGTCATTAGCTTTTATTCTTTTTTGCCCACAAAAGGGATCTACACCTTGGTCCGATAGGATAGTGAAAAAGTGATAGGATAGTGGAAATGTAAATTATGGCGACTACTTATTAGATGGGAGGACTAATGTTTGGTGTTCACAAGGAGTCCACCATATTAGGTGAAACTCTCATATTGCGGCTGCTAGGGCTTAATAATGTGTCTTTGCTTACAATTTATCCCATGATCCCCTTTTTGAAGCTACGGGCAGTGGAATCCTGAATAGAATAACATCATCTTCGAGTGCAAAAGCTGGATTAAGAAAGATTGGATCGTCAATTGCTGTCATGTTTTGCGGGAGCAAAATCAAGTGGCAGAATGGTTGTTGAGAAATTACGGTCCACAACCTGATTTGGCATTGCTTTATTTTTGTCCCAATGCCATTCTTGTGGAGTTGTGGAACTTGTTTATAGTGATTGGAGCGGGGTTCCTTACGCTCGTGGTGACTAATTTTGTGTTTTGTTTCTCTCCGGGGCTCAACCCTTCCTTATTTCCAAAAAAAAAAAAATCACCCATGAACCAATTGAATTGTCCTTGTGAGTACTTTTATTATTTTTTGATAACCTAAGCTTTTCTTCTTTTGTTGCATTATATCCTGAACTCCATGAACCTACCTCTAGACCCATAAAAAGGTAAATCAAGTCAATCTAACTTTGAGATCATCAAATTATACACTGAAGTACAAAAGAACCCAATAATACTATCACTGAATACAAGTTTTAAGTAAGACTTTTTCATTCACTAAACCAATACTCTAAAGGCGTCATCGAGCCTATGTTATTTATCGAAGCTTGACAATGTTTTGGGTCATTTGTGATGATCTTCGTTCAGATCTTGGTGAAAGGATACTGTGTGATTGAATTATCGTTTTGAATCATTTACTATATCTTTATTCAGTCAATATCCTCACTAAAATTTAAATATATAACCTCCCATTCGAGAGAGTCACAATTATGTCACCCACAAGTGACAACATGGTTTTTGGCAAATGGGCATTTTTGTTAAATTCAAAGCAAAATGTATTCACCATCGTAACATTTATTATTGTCAATATTTGCCCTAACATTTCAAAAATTATAAACTGCTCCTCCAGATTTTCTTTTACCGTCTATCTATGATCTATCGCTCCACAGTTACAGCCGCCGCAGAATTCAGCTCAGGCGAGCGAGGGGTTCTTTACCAAGTAGACCAGCGGCTTCTCCATGGCCTTTCTGTTTAACAAATTTCAAGAGGTCATCTTTCTCCCATCCTCCATCTGAAATTTCATACATTGATATGCTTAAAACTCGATATTAGTATCTTAGTTTTTAAGATTTTATCCGATATTGGCATGTTTTTGTTTCGATCACACAATATGAATAAAAGGGGGTCTTCCAAACCATCATTTTGAACTAAAAATCTGATATTTTTGCTCTAATTTTAGGCTGTGAAGGTTCTTGCAAAAAGCCCCACGTTTGCAAGAGATCCAAGGCGTTTTCAGTTTGAGACAGATATAAATCGCCTTTTCCTTTATACTAGGTGAGTAGCAGTTTATCGCCATGTTTTTCAAACTTTGTGGAATGGTGGAGCTTATGCTTATCTTAGCAGGATATGGCAGGTCTATGAACTATCATTTTATTGTAGTTAAAGCTTTTAAAGCTATTTAGTCATGCTGTGTACTTGTATTGAGTGAAATTTGCAAGTGTTGGAGATTTGGCCAACCACTTTTGCCCATCTTACAAAAGCTTTTATTAATTTGATTAACTTCTAATTAGTACTACTCGGAAATGATCCTTGATGCAATTGCTTCTCTTTTCATGAAGGTGTAATCAGATTCATCTTCAGTAGCGTTTGGGTATATATTTGCGTGTTGAGCAAAGTGCAAACATTTGAGCTTTTAATAAGATTGAAATGGTTTCACAACCATAAAAGAGAGAAGGATGAGAATTAGACATAAGAACTTTGCCAAGCACCTTGTGCTCAGATGGCACCTCTGTGGCTCCCCTTGAGGGAAGGTCACAAGATCGAACCCCAGTGGTGGGGTATTGACTCATTGGGCTGCAGTAGTTAAAGAAAGTATAGAACAGATACTACATTGTAATAGAGTCAATAATATTCAAAAAAAGACATAAGAACTTTTGTGCAAGTATCATTAATATGTCCATTATTTTTCATTCCTAGATGGTAGAGGTTTTGATATTTTATTTTATTGTAATAGTAACTAGTATTTGGGTTTTATATGTAATTTTATTTTTGTCTATGGAAGATGGCAGACACATGGCTTATGGCTAATAAGTTACTACTTTCCTTTTCTTAATTACAAAAAGAAAAAAAAAAAAGTAGTTCCTTCTTTTCATAATGTCGTTGATATACTTTGTTAAGAGATGTCGAGCTTTGACATGCCCACTGTCTCTTTTAGTTTCTCAGGCTCTCCTTTGTGTCTGTTATAGCTAATTTTTGTTTATATCATTCTAAATTAAAGTATGCTGATATGTTTCAAGTGAAGGACGAGTCAGTCATTGCTTCCACATTTTACAGTTTCACCTTCTCATGATAATCCAATATTTTCAGCCACAATCGTCTGGGGAAGGGTGCTGATGAAAAAGATGCAGAAGAGATAATCGATATGGCTAGCAAGGCCTCCCTTGACGATCAACAGAAGCAGGTTCAGGAAAATGTTCACTGTCAAGTTGAAACCTTCTGCACATGTATGGATGAAATTTTAATCCCTGTTTCGAAGAGCCCTGTTGAGCCTCAATTACCCTTAGAAAGGAGTAATCCTCCTCGTCGTAGTGGTCTTAGTTTCGCTGTTGGTGGAAGTTCTCCTTTGAATAATTGCCCTGGTAAGTGCCATTTTATCATATTATTCTCTCAAGTTCAATAATTCTTCATTTTGTGTATTTCATTTGAGAATTAATATTTATTTTAACGTGCATGCAACTTTACTTCTCCTTACCTGACATGACGATTGCGCTGGCCTTATGCACTAGGACCAACCTTTTATGTGATCTCTTATAATCTAAGATTGGGCTAGGGTCACTCAATTGGGTTATAATGAGCATGGGCCAAGCCATACTAAAAGATTGAATCCAATCAATTAGCTAGTCTAACCTAGAAACGAAAGCTCTAGACGCCACCAAAGTGGACCGAACAAGACAGCCGGGTGAACACAAAGTGGACCGAACAAGACAACCGGGTGAACACAAAGTGGACCGAACAGACTTTGATATCATGATATAATCTAAGTTGGGCTAGGGTCAATCAATTGGGCTATAATAGATATGGAGCCAAACCACACTAAAAGATTGAATCCAATCAATTAGCTAGTCTAACCCATGACCTTATAAACCTATATGTTCTTTCATATTTTATCAATGACTCTTAACATAATCTATATTGAAATCTTCCATAGCCCACCTTGCTATTTATTTCACCTTTGCTTATATTTTTCATTTAGTACCTTTATGCATCTTCACTCAGAGAACTTTGTTTGCTGAGTAGCTAGCTCCCTGGAATCTAATCACGCACAAATTTGCAGTACAGCTGTTCCTGAAATCAAGGCTTTAAAGCGTGCAGAGGTTTCTCAGAGGTTGAAGGAGCTCATTGGCTATACTCTCGAGGTAAAACCATCTCAAATTCCCCATGAAGATGCTGGCAAAGGTTTATTTTTAAACGGCGAAGCTGAGCTGGGTGCTGTTATAGCATTCTATCCTGGTGTAGTCTATTCTCCAGCTTACTACCGTTACATTCCCGGGTATCCAAGAGTTGATTCCCAGAATTCATACTTGATCACAAGGTATGACGGGTCCGTGATCAATGCAAAGCCCTGGGGTGCTGGCGGAGAGTCTCGTGAAATATGGGATGGATCGTGTGGCCCACACGCTACACCAATTAAACAAGCTGCTGAAAACAACGGTTCTGATCGAGTCTGGAGGATGCTTAGTAAACCGTTGGATGGTACGAGTATAGGACGTAAAGGTGACGTGTTGGAGAGGAGAAACCCTCTAGCTTTTGCGCATTTTGCCAATCATCCAGCCAAGGACATGGCCCCGAATGTCATGGTTTGCTCCTACGACTTTCCACTAACCGAGAAGGACTTGAGACCTTACATTCCGAATATTTCATTTGGAAATGGAGAGGTTAACATGAAGAAACTCGGCAGCTTTTGGTTCAAATCTTGGAAATCAAATAGCAGTGGAGGAGGAGCAGATGTCCCCATCCTGAAGTCTCTCGTTCTCGTGGCGACTAGACCAATCTGTAACGAAGAAGTGCTCTTGAATTACAGATTGAGCAACTCGAAGAGAAGGCCTTGTTGGTATACTCCAGTAGACGAGGAAGAGGATCAAAGAAGGTGGAGCTGAGCTAAGGCGGGTATATTCGGACAATCGGACCGAGTTTTGAAACGTGTGACAATAACAGTTTGCTGCAACCAAGCTGCCTCGTGTTATCATAAAACGAGGCTTCAAACTAAATCTGCTGGAAAACTTTCAGCCAAGTTATAAACACTGCATTGCCTTTGCATATGCAAAATGAACTGAACTCAGAACTCTTACCTTTTTTCAGTTCTTGATTTCGTAACTTATGAGCGAAGACAATTATGTTACAGATGACTTGATTATAAAGAAAAAGAAACTGAAGGATGAGTTGCAGCTTTTGATTGAGACTGTCAATTGTTTTAGACTCCAATTAACCCTACTTTCTTGTACCCTTCAAGTTCATCAACTATGAAATGCATTTTTTTTGGGTACTGTACTTCTGATTAATCTAAATTTCAAACTATAGACTATTATTTTTAGAAAATTGATGGTGAGACGTGTAATATTTTTTAATTAAAATATAATTTATTATTATTATTATTATTATTATTATTATTATTATTATTATTAACATGTAAAATGACAATAATAATTGTTTTTAAAAAAAATTAAAAAAATATAATTAAGTCAATCATATTAACTACTTGTTGGAGTATTCAAATTGAAGTAGAAAATCACCTCGCAATGTCCTTGTTTGGCAATCAGTAGTTAGCTCTTCAATATTTTATGCCCTAATTTTT